CGCGCTTCCCCTGCCGCGAGGCCGTCGCGCTTCCCCTGCCGCGACACTGTCGCGCTTCCCTGCCGCGACACTGTCGCGCTTCCCCTGCCGCGATACTGTCGCGCTTCCCCTGCCGCGAGGCCGTCGCGCTTCCCCTGCCGCGACACTGTCGCGCTTCCCCTGCCGCGATACTGTCGCGCTTCCCCTGCCGCGACACTGTCGCGCTTCCTTTGCCGCGACACTGTCGCGCTTCCCCTGCCGCGACACTGTCGCGCGTCCCCTGCCGCGAGGCCGTCGCGCTTCCCCTGCCGCGACACTGTCGCGCGTCGCGCTTCCCCTGCCGCGACACTGTCGCGCTTCCCCTGCCGCGAGGCCGTCGCGCTTCCCCTGCCGCGACACTGTCGCGCTTCCCCTGCCGCGACACTGTCGCGCTTCCCCTGCCGCGATACTGTCGCGCTTCCCCTGCCGCGACACTGTCGCGCTTCCCCTGCCGCGACACTGTCGCGCTTCCCCTGCCGCGACACTGTCGCGCTTCCCCTGCCGCGACACTGTCGCGCTTCCCCTGCCGCGGGGCCCTCGCGCTTCGTCGGTCAAGTCAAAAATATAGGGTAGGTCAACTGTGGGGGGGGTCAATTTTTTTTGGTAATATTTATATATTACTCCTATTTATATTCCCATATTTATATTCTAATATTTATATTAATATTTTTATTAATTAATATATAGGTAGGTCAACTTTGAGGTGGGTCAAGCTACATACACTCCGAAAAATGGCAATATTTTATTGAATATTTTTATTCAATATTTTTATTAGGTAGGCGAAATATAGGTAGGCGAAATAGACAGGTAGGCGAACATTTAGGTAGGAGAAATGAACATCTCCCCCGCCAAAGGCACTGGCTGACGACGCGGCCAACCCGTCCGCTGGCCGGTCGGTGTCCCTTTCTTCCCCTGCACTTCATTCCGTTTAATCATTTTAATCATGTCTGTGCGGGGCGGTAAAAACGAGTCATTCGCAGACCACGGCACGCGGCACGGAAAAAGTGCGTGCTGGCCGAGTGATACTTCTTCGTAGGGCGTCTCCGGAGGGCACCCCCCCACCCCCACCCCGCCCCGCCCCGCCTGCGGTCTGAGGAGACACCCTTCCCTCAAGGGGGCGCCGCGGCTGGGCTGGCGGGGCTGGCGGGGCCCCGCTGCCGCGAGGGCTGCCTATCGGCAGGCGGCGAATGATACACGATGCCCGTGGGAAGTCATAAGCCGCAGGGGTCTCCCTTCCCTCTTAGGTTCCGCAGGCGACACGCCCGAGGGGCTGCGTTTCGATAAAATGGAAAAAGGGGGAAGAAAAAAAAGAGACAAGAAGTGTCCTCTAATATCTCGATATTTTGGTCGCGGGGAGAAAAATAGTTTATTTATTCGCAGACGAATCTATGGCCATTCCTGCATCCGTGTTGATACTCCTCCTGTGGCGCCGCGAAGCACTGCCAGCAAGCACTGCGAGGACTGCCAGGCATTCAGTCACTGCACCTCCGCCTCGATCCACCTTGATGAGTTCTCATTTCAGTCACGCGCGCTTTCCTTCGCTCCTCTCTCTCTCTCTCTCTCTCTCTCTCTCTCTCTCTCTCTCTCTCTCTCTCTCTCTCTCTCTCCCTTCCGTGCGAGCCAGAGCCCTGGGTGGGCCCTCCCATTAGAAGCCACTCTCTAGCAGCTCGACAACAATTCCGAGGTATCTCATTTCACCTAATGTCTGAAATCCGCTTTGCCGCGTCGTGGCGCTGCCCGCCGCGCACTACCTGTGGACTGATTCCGAGGTTCCCTTTCGTCGCTCTGTCTCTCTCGCACCTGTACGGGCCGCCCCATGAGTGCGAGAGAGACAGAGCGAGACTCTCGGAATCGGTCTGCTGGCGGCCTGCACTGCAAGGCCTCCCCGGCGACGCGGCCCGGGTGACAGTGTGGTTGCCACGGCAACCATCATTCCGAGATGATTATCACCTTTGATTCGTCCCCAGGGCCGGGCACGGCGTGGCACGGCATGGCACGGCGTCGGCACGGCACGGCACGGCCCGGCCGTCGCGGCGGGCGGTCATGCCTCACCTGTCCGGGGCATCTCCGCGTCAAACTTTACGACAAGGCCCCGTCGTTTTGTCTTCGTTTTTCGTCGGCTTGCTTCTACGCAAGGAATGCGGACACCGCGCGCGGATCCGCTCCGCTGCAGCACAGTGGTTTTGCCAGAAGAGCGGCGGAGGCGGTCAAAATCCCAGACGCGTTTTGAGCCGCAGAGTCACTAAATGGGACTAGAACCGAGCGTGTGACCCCACCAATGGATTGCTCTCCGAACGAGGAATCCATTGGTGGGGTCACACGCTCGATTCGAGTCGTGTTTTTTGAGTCTGGAGGTGAAAACGCGTTTCGAGTTTCGGCCCCCGGCGCCGGTCCCCGGTCTTCTGGCAAACCCACAGTGTGCAGGTGCGTCTCGCCGACGACAGACAAGCGAGCAGCGCCGCGGTTCGGCACAACGAAGTTAGTTTGCGCCGCAGACAGTGGAGTTCGTGCCCCGCCCTGCTGGCACACTGCTTGCGCTGCTGCAGACTGATTCCGAGAGTCGTTTTCGTCGCTCTGTCCCTGTCGCGCCCATAAGGGACGCCCCATGGGTGCCAGAGAGACGGAGCGACGAAAACGACTCTCGGAATCGGTCTGCTGGCGCGGCATCGGGTTGGCGTTGGCCAGCCTTCCAAGGCACCGGCGCACGCGGCGCCTTTTTCGCTTGCGTGCCGCGCCGCCGCTCGGTCCAGAGCCCCGCCGTGCCCCGCACTGCCCTCCAGCCTCGGCTTAGCCGGGCCGGGGAGCAAGCCAAAGACAAAGGGTGTAATTTTACACCGTTTTCGCGATAGCGACAACCAAGACGCCCGAACGCCCTCCTCTAACCACTCGTCTTTTTTATTGCCAAGTTTTTGTTGTTTTTTATTCCCTTAATCCCGAAGGAAGCGGTGCACTGGAAACACTTATCTTTCGCGGCGGCTTCCAGTTGTCCCTCTGTAGCATCCCTCTCTCTCTCCGTTTCTCTGTCTCTCCCTCCATCTCTCTCCCCTCCCCTCCTCCCTCCCCCTCCCCACCCCCGCCGCGCTCCTCGCCACCCGAAGTCCTGTGGGACGTCCCGCCGCTGTAGCTGCTAATTAGACAAGGCTCGTTGTCACTTGTACATTATTTACACGTCGCCGTTATTTGCAGTGTGGCCGTGCCCTACTGTGCCGTGCCGCGCCGCGCCTCCGGGGCCAAGAGGCCCGGCACGTTAACTAGATCGGCCTCGTTAACTCGCCGAGTACACTGCATGCACAATGGATGGACCGCGCGGTACCTGATGGCACGCGGATGGGCCGAGGACGGGCCTTGCCAAGGCCTCGCGCCGCTCGCGTCCCCTTGATGGGCAATCGACTTATTTAGCGGGCCACTAATGGCATGGAGCCCACCCCACGCACGGCAGTGTGCCCGCACGCCACAGGTGAAAGAGGGGCCCGCCTTGCCTTCGCCTCGCCTCGACGACCCGAAGCGATTTGCGTGTCGTTTTTCGCGCACGTTCCGGAAAACTAGCCTGGCCCTATATAACAGGGTTGTTTTTCGCGTACTCTCCGAAAAACTGTCGCTTAGAACAGAACTAGGGTCGTTTCCGTCGCTCTGTCTCTCTCGCACTCTTGGGGCGTCCCGTACGGGTGCGAGAGAGACAGAACGCCGAAAGCGACTCTCGGAATGAGTCTGCTGGGCCGGGCCGCGACACGGCGGGGGGTCCCCGATCGGAGCGAGTTGAATGAGGACCTGGTCTTTCGGAAACTGCGCGGGAAAGGATGTGAGGGAAGGGGAACGGGTGGACAAGTGGTTTTGGGGAAGGGGGTGGGGGGCCGAACCACACGGCAGCTTAGACGCACTGGAACGCAATCAAAGTTCGTCGTGCGGGGCAACCGCAGTGGAGCAGAGCGAAGCACAGCGCCCTCTGTCGGTGACAAGCTCCTTCGCCCCCCCCCCCCCCACACGGATCCAGCCCCTCGTCATACGTCCTTCTGGCCAATCCCTTATCGGACTTAGCTCTGGACTTACACTGTCCCACCGCCTCTTGCTCGCCGCGTAGGACTAGGGACTTAGGGACTCGGAGGGCGCTGAGGTGTCCCGCGCCTCGTCACCGCCCGCAGACTGACTCCGAGAGTCGTTCTCGTCGCTCTGTCCCTCTCGCACCCTTGCGGCGTCGCGGACTGACGCGAGAGAGACAGAGCGACGAAAGCGACTCTCGGAGTCAGTCCGCCGCCGAGCCTTTGTTGTCGTCCGCCGCGAAGCTTGCGACCAACTCTGGCTGCCTTTCCGACCGACTGCGCTTCTTTTTAACAGTGTCGTGGCTCTGGCCGGCGCGCCGTACGTAAACATCGGCCTTTCGTGGATTGAGCAATTACGCCCGGTGTGTTGTTTGGGCATATCGGATCATCCCGGTACAGTCCGAGCGGCAAGCGCTGCCTTGCGACGACCGCTGGGTAGTTTTAAGATACTAAAGGTCTTCAGTGGCACATTGATTATGGTGATGGTGGTGATGATAATGATGATGATGATCATGATCATGATGAAGATGTTGATGACGAGGCGTTCTTGAGGAGTCCTTGAGCACCCCCTAGACAATAGAAACATTAAGGCTGATATATGTTTTCACAGTAAAAACCCTTTTTTTTAACCGTGTACTGTGCTTCTGCCTTTTCACCTGCTGCTGGGGCTTCTTTCTCTCTCGAACTTTCGCGGGTGACTGTACATAACGAGGTCTCTGCCGGCCCCTCAACTCGCCGCTCAGAAATAGCAAATACCGAAAAGGACGGCGAGCGGGTCGAGATGATTTACTCGCTCGCGTGCGACGCGCGCCGTTCCGAAAATGGGCCCGCCTCAAACTGGACCCGTTTTGGAAAAGTGTTTCTCCGGTCTTTTGGATGTAGCCGGTTAGTTCGCAATCCATTGACGCGAGCAATGTAAACAAACGTGTTCTCTCTGTGTTGCAGGCGGCTCAACAACAACATGATCAGGCAGCTGCCCGACCACCTGTTCACCAGCAACAGCAAGCTCCACCGACTGTAAGTGTTTCCTGATTTTCATCGAGGGCGTTTGGGGTCCGCCTTCTGTCTCTGTCGCACTCACTGGCAGTCCGCGAGGAGTGACAAGGACAGAGCTAAACGGGATTTGGGATCAGCGACGGCGGCGCGCTAAGCCGGCGAGGCGCCTCCACCGGAAAAGGGTTTAGCCGAGCCGACCTCTGCGATTTAATGAAGGCGAAGGGGGGAAATTCGCGACGAGGATTATCCCAATGCAAATTCGCGGCCAGACTGACTTCGCTGAACGCTCGACGAATCAAAGGCATACAGGCCGTCACACATAGTCTCTCTCTCTCTCTCTCTCTCTCTCTCTCTCTCTCTCTCTCTCTCTCTCTCTCTCTCTCTCTCTCTCTCTCTCTCTCCCCCTTCCCAAGAAGCACCTCGCCGTGGCACGACCCCGGCAGCACGGCACCCCTTTCGCCGGACCGGGCCGCCGGGGGCGCGCGTTCGGCAGGCTCGGCATGGCGGTAATCCAACAACTGGTTTACCGGCTCCCATTTTGTCGGAGCTTCGACGTGAATGGAAACCAGTTGGCTTTCTATTTTCTCTCTCGCGCGCGCTGCATGCGCTGCGTCTTGATGCAAAATGCATCGCGGTCCAATTGCTCCCTCTGTGGTGTGTGTGTGTGTGTGTGTGTGTGCGTGTGTGTGTGTGTGTGTGTGTGTGTGTGTGTGAAGGGGTGCGCAGTGTCGTGTTACGGCGGGGGACGTGATTTCACAGACAGGATTAGATTCAGCTTGTCGTCCCGCGACACGCCGCGCCACCCGCATCGGCTAAGGACCGCCACGGCACACTGTTTCCGAGAGTCCTTTTCGCCCACTCTCTCTGTCCTTCTCGCACCAACGGGTACGCCAACGTGAGTGCGAGAGAGACAGAGCGACGAAAAGGACTCGCGAGTCTGCAGACGCCGTGATTTGTCTCGACATCGCGTGCGGCCTGTGCGGACAGCGATTGGGAAACGCGGCGACTCGGCGGCTCCCCAAAACAGGTCACATTTGCTCCCGAATCCTCTTCAGAAAAACGTCGTCGCCGTTAGTGGTGGTTGTTTTGGAGATCGGACCATGCCTTCGATGTGAGTGCGCCACGGAGACTGCAGTTTCTTGCAATTGGAAGTTTCTCTGAGTCACTCGTTCATTCTTTGGGCGTGTAATCGACGCAACCCCACACTAACGCTGGTCTATTTCCGCTTAAGGATCCCTTTCTTCCCCGTCGTCGGAGAAAAGCGGTGACATGGCCAACGAGTGCGGATCCCTCACGCACTAGCAGCCAATTACGTGGCAAGGAGAAAAAGTTTTATTGGCTCATCCCGGCAAACTTGTTTTTTATGAAGGAGGAAGGGGGAGGGGGCGTTTTGGTGATGTTCTGAGGGGCTTTATCTAGCTTGGAGCCTCCCCCCCCTCATTTGCACAACGCTTCATTTTCTTTTGTTTTTCAGTGCAGTCGGGAGGAGGGCGAAAGAATGCGTCAGTCTTGAAATCGGGCAAATTAATAACTTTGAAGAAAGAGCTGCTAGGTGAAATGGGCGGCGAGAAAGGAGGGAAGGAAGGAAGAGGCGTTACGCGACGCGCACGGCCACGCCACGCCACGCCACGGCGCGTCGGACAACATTAAACTCGCATTAATTCAGATTAAATGAAACGGCGATCATCACGGCAAGGAGGAAGGGCCCTGCTCATTAGAAACTGCGCGGCATCTATCTATCCATCTACCTATCTACCCATCTATCTCTAACCTTTCTATCCACTGTAATTATTTTAGTCACGGCAGACGATTTGAGTGAGGCTTTCGTCACGTTTGAATGTGTCTCCACCTCGCAGTTCAACCGAAGTGACCCTTTGACACTCCTCCGCCGAGACAGTTCCACTCCGTCGGCGCAGCTCCACCCTTTCCACGACAACCGTGCGTCCCCCTCCCCCCCTTCCCCTCCTTTCCGCTCAAAGCCACCAAGTAGTCTTTGCAGGATTAATTAAAACGAATGGCATTATTTCGGTCGCTGCGTCAGCGGGATGTCACTGCCGCCGGCAATTCGCATGCAGTTAGTCGCGACTGCAAAAAAAAAACGGATTTTTTTGTTTAACGGACAGTGTTTATTGCATCCACTTCCGGGTTTGCACCGATTCAGATCGAACTTTATAGTCGCGTAACATTGTTCTCCATGCAGGCAGACCTTGGGGATGGCCGGTGTGGGGGGTGTGTGTGTGGTGGAGAGAGGGGAAAAGGGGAGAGAGAGAGAGAGAGACTTCCTCGTCCGTTTCACAATACTATCCACCTTCATGCAGTCAGCACGTTGCGTAATCCTCCCAGTGTCTTTTTTTTCGGCAGTCGTGAAAAACGACGATTCCTTTTCGCGATTTCATCGCCACTGTAAATCTCCCACGCACTGTCGTCCACGCGCGTCAAATAATAACAATAACAAGAAATCTTGCTCATTTCCATAGCGTGCGCGTACGTACACTCGGACACGCCGCAACAACCCCCTGCCTGTCCGCGGGCCGCCGCGGGGCGGGCTCGCCAGATCGAAATCAGTTCCCCTCTCCGTCGGGCCGTGGCGGAGCGCGTCTCTCTCGACCACAAACAATTACTCCAAGTTGCACCGCTCTTGCTCTTTGCGGCACTCTGTAAGTGTGTGTGTGTGTGTGTGTGTGTGTCGCACGCCTCGGCGGCAGCCATATGGGAGCACTGCAGCGAGGCGCGGGGGAGCGGAGCGGCGCGCATTGTTGGGTCACGGGTCACCCGGAGCGACCTCGACGGGATCTTTCTTGGCGTCCTTCTCTCTCTCTCTCTGTCGCACTCACGGGGCGTGGGGGTGCGAGTGAGACGGAGACGACGATCCTTCGCAGTGGCTCGGCAGCACGCGCCGGGGCGTGGGTGTGCCGACCTGCGCGCCTCGCGCGGCAATCCCCATGCAAATGCCATGCCGCTCTGTCTCTGTCGCACTCGCGGGCCGGCCCTTATGGGTGCGAGAGAGACGGAGCAATGACAGACAGTCCGCGCTGCATCGGGCTCCGCGGCTCCGCGCTCGCTATGCTGATGAGAGGCCAGTTCTACCTATCGGCGCTCCGCCGCCACGCCCGGCCGCTCCTCGCTCCTTTCCCCGGAAGGGTCCAAACCTTTCAAGGGGTCCGGTCCCAGGCGTTTTTCCGTGGCGCCGTTCCCCCAGAGGGTGAAAGGAGATGGGGGCGCGTTCCGCTTGGCGCGTGCGCGGAAGGGGGGGGGAAAAAGAGGAATAAAGGGGGAAATGTGGGATAAGGTTCCTCCTCGCCCCTCTCCTTCCCTCCCTATTTTCCTCTCCTTATCTCTCTCTCTCTCTCTCCCTTCCTCTCTACTCACTCTTCACACACACACACACATGCACATCTGTCGCCACAGATGAAGTGGTTTAGCGGCTTCACTGTGCGAAATACGCCAATGCACCGCCATCCAGCAACTAAGCATTAATTTTTTAAAAAAAGTTCATTTTGAAACTGTTGCGCTCAAATTTCAAAAAAAAGAGAGAGAGAGAGAGAGAGAGAGAGAGAGAGAGAGAGAGAGGAGAGAAGAGAGAGAGAGAGAGAGAGGCGAAAAGAGAGGGACAATGGTGGCGGCGTGTCTTTCAGTCTTTCAGCGGGGTGCCAGAGAGTGGTGGCCCGGCATGGTGGCCCGGCATGGTGGCCCGGCATGGTGGCCATGGTGGGCCCGAGCGAAAGGCGGCCATGAGTAATGGAGGGCAAACGGACCAAGAATGACAGGTGGGCATGGCGCATTTGGCTAGATCCGTCTCCTGTTCTTTTCTTTTACTTCTTCTCTGTCCGCCTTTCTGTCTCCGTCTGTCTGCCCATTCACAAGGGGATTCGTTTCAGGCCGACCCGCGAGCTTGCTGTGCACTTCCCTCATCATTGTTTCATCGCTGGCCGAAACCCTTTACTACACCCTGCCGGACCACCATCCCTATCGCAGTTCCCTCCGTACTTCTGTTCAACTATTTATCTCCTCAAACGTTTCCCTCTGCCTACATGAGCATCCACCACACTGCCAGGATCGCACTATCGCACACACACACACACACACACTTTCGTGCACGCGTTGGCCATTGTGCTTTCTGTGTGACTGACAGTTCGACTAACCCTTTCTCCGCCGCGATCCTCGTGTCTGACCTGCCACCGCTTCGGGCAGAATTTAGCCGGCTTCTTCTTCTTCTTCTTCTTCTTCTTCTTCTTCTTCTTCTTCTTCTTCTTCTCCTCATTCTGCTGAGCGGGAATCCGTGTAGCCCTGCGGGCCCGCTCCGCTCGCGCACGCCGCACACTTGAGGTATAGCAGCATAGCAGGCCCAATGTTACGCACGATCGTCACGCCTAGGTCGCTGTCATCAGGTTTTCGGGGTAGAAAGTAGAGAGCAGACACACACGCACACACACACGTACGCAGTGTGACAATTCACGCTTCCCGTCGGTGGCGTGTGACAATACGATTGGATCAAGAGGCGCGCCGTGATGAGCTTAGTGTCACTCAAAATGTTGGCCGTACGTACGCTTCCTTCCGTCACAACCCTCATCCTCTTCCCCCCTCCTCTCTCTCTCTCTCTCTCTCTCTCTCTCTCTCTCTCTCTCTCTCTCTCTCTCTCTCTCTCTCTCTCTCTCTCTCTCTCTCTCTCTCAGAGCTCCCCCGGCGACCCGCGGGCCCGCATCTCACCGCGAGATCGCGGCATAGTGGAGCAGCAGTCTGAGTTCACGCACTCCGAAAGCAGTGGCGTGGCAAGTGGCGGGGCGGGGCGCGGCGGGTTCTGATTAAAATCGGCGTTTGAAAAGCCCCTCGGCGTAATTAGGTTTAATTGAAAAAGCGAGCAGTCGGGCCGCGTCGTCGCGCGGTGCGGTGCCGCCTCGCCTCGCCCAGTCAGGCCATACCGCCGTGGGACGGCGACGGCGTCGCCTAGGAGTGCCGGCAGACCGATTCCGAGAGTCTCGCTCTGTCTCTCTCGCACCCATGCGGGACGCTATGTGAGTGCGAGAGAGACGGAGCGACGAAAGCGACTCTCGGTCCGCAGAAGAAGCCCCTCGTCGTTGTTCCCGGCGCCGCCGAGGCGAGAGAGCACGACGGACCGACCCACTGGAAGCCAGCTAAACTCCGCCGAAAAGGAGCCGACGGGTCGTGTGTGAAAACAGCTAGAAAAATGCTTAGTTTGGTACTGTAACTGTACACAAAATTGGGTTAAATTGAAACTTTGACTTAAAATTTATCATTGACAACAAAATGACTTCAGTTGAGTATTTCGCGTTCTTTGGGTTGGTGTCGTCGATCAGTGTCCCACCCTCGCGGGAAACAGTTCCAATAAGGAAACAATTTAAGGGGGAAGGAAGGAAAGCCGATGATTAGGTATTCTCGATACTTTGGATCGCACCGTGAGAGAGACCCGTTGATTAAAAATCTTGCTTGATTTTGCGTCACATCGTTGCTCGGTCACAGCCTTTTTTTTTTTCTTCTTCCGTTTTTGTTCAGTTTCCTTTTTTTTGCGCCAGACGCTGTTAACTTCCTTCCCTGCTTTTCGCCCCGTGTTTGGAGAGAGTTAAGGGAGGCCCAATAAGTTGAGGGGGAAAAGGAGCGACGAAAAATTAAACCGGGACGACGGAAGCAATATGGATTGGCTGTCAGCGGGTTGAATCGTCCGGAGGGAAAGGGGTGGCTAGAGGGGGGGGGGTGTCGGTGTGTCAATCATGCGCTGGCGAGTGCCCGCGACATCCTTTACTTGTGTTTCGAATTAGGTTTCGGAACGGCTACTCAAAAGAACGGCATGCTGTCTGCAGACTGACTCCGAGAGTCGTTTTCGTCGCTCTGTCTCTCTCGCACTCATGCGGCGTGCCTTATGAGTGAGACAGACAGAGCGACGAAAACGACTCTCGGAATCGGTCTGCTGTTTGCGCAGTTGCGAGCGTCTCAGAACAGTGTGCCCGCCACCCCTGTTTCCAGCTGCTCGCCAGCTCCGCCTTTTGTCTTCTAACGTTTTCAGAATTTTAAAGCCAGCAGGTATAAAGAGCGGAAGAAGTGGGAAACAGAGAGGACGGGGGGCTGTGTCCACGATAAGTAGGGCTAACCATCTGTAAACTTTTTGCACTTGGGGAAACGGCGGAAAGGGGGATGCGACGGCCAAGGAACTGGCTAGGCTGGGGCAGTGCGGGGCGTGGGGGGGCGGGCGTGGCGGGGGGGGCGTGGCGGCGCGGCGCGGAGGGACCACAGAGGCCCCCAGCCAGCCTGCCGGCCCCCGTTCCGTTTCGCAAAATTACCATCTTACCGGCGGCATGCCGGGGCAAGGCGAGGCAGCACACTGATTCCGAGAGTCGTCGCTCCGTCTCTCTCGCACTCGTGGGGCGTCCCTGTGGGTGCGAGAGAGACGGAGCGACGAAAGCGACTCTCGGAATCAGTCGGCAGATATCGCGAGCGCGGCTTTTCGGAGGGATTCTCGCCTAATTGGTCATTAGAAGCGCGTCTGCAGACCGATTCCGAAGGAGAGTCGCGGCGGCGCCCCGTCTCTGTCGCGCTCGCGGAGAGAGAGAGAGAGAGAGAGAGAGAGAGAGGGAGGAACCTTTCGAAATGAGCCTGACGCTGCCTCGCGCTCCGTCCCCGTGTTTTCGTATTTCCGCGCGCGGAGTTGTTTGGTGAACGGTTTTGCAGTGGTGGAGCGCTGCTGAAAGGTGCTCACTGGAAACGGACCGCCTTAGGTGGTAGAGCAAGGGCTTGGGAAGTGAGTGTTTCCTAGAGGTTGAAATACGAAAACTCCCTGAACAACTTCATAGGACTGTTAAAAAATCTTGGGAATTGGCGAAGAACTTGTTCGTAAGTATAAATACAGTGAGGATACCAAGATAGCACTAAAAACCTTGCCAATGTTTTCATTTTCCTGCTGGTGTTTGTTTTTAAGCCTGGTGATAAAGTTTTTAATGGTTTGCCTGAAAATGACAGCCTACCTCCCCCCTCCCCCTCAAAAAAGGGGGGTGAAAAAAGGAAAAAAAGAGAAAAACCTTGAGGGTGGTGAGGAAGATGGCGCAGGCAGACCGCGCCTAAAAAAATGTTTCTGAAAAGATAAATTCTTACCGATAGTCTTAGGTGGGAATAAATCCCTGCCCCGTAGAGGGCGCCATTCAAATCAGGAACAGCAAGGGGTGCCGCGCAGGGAGGGCGCCTGCACTGGCAGACGGCCAGCAGACTCATTCCGAGAGTCGTTTTCGTCGCTCTGTCTCTCTCGCACTCATGAGGCGTTGAGTACAGGTGCGAGAGAGACAGAGCGACGAGAGCGACTCTCGGAATCGGTGTGCAGCGTATGACTAAGGGAATCCTTTCTCCATCTCGGCAGGACTCTCTGAGGCTGTGGGTTGATTGCGAGAGTCATTTCGGTCGCTCTGTCTCTCTCGCACTCATGGAGTAGCACCGACCTTTTTTGTTTCCAAGATGCTATGCCAGTAGAGGTGTGATTAAATCAGGGCCTGATTGAAATGAAGAGCGACGTGGTGATGGTGATGATGATTTTGGTGATGATGACGGTGAAAGTGATGGCGGGGTATGGCTTCGGACTGAACGGAAAGCGATGATGTGGCAACGGTATGAAATGATGGAATGACATCAGAAATGCGTTAGTGTGGGTGGGGTGGCAGTTGGGGCGCGCTTCAAGATTTCACACCGGAGGAGGAGGCTGTGGGTGGTGTCGTCTCTCTCTCTCCTCGGGCTGCCAGATCGCTGGAACAGGCTGCGGATGTCGGGCAAATGCTGTATTCCCACGACCTGCCCTGCCTCGCGAGAGCACTCTGTTGAAAAAAAACTGAACTTGCCGTCAGAGTCGGGTGGCGACTCTGGTTGACGTTTTGCTCTGCTCGCTCTAACCCGTTTTTGTCTGTCTTCCGCAGAGACCTGAGCAACAACGAGCTGAAGGGCGTCGGCAAGAACTCCCTGCGAGGACTCAGCGGTCTGCGGACACTGTAAGTACCAGTCTGCACTGCAGCTAACATTGATCCAAGACTCTTGGCTGTTCGATGGTGGCTATTTATGCACACTGAACAAGTACCGCTGGGCAATGATGCGCCATTCCCGCAGTGCGTTTCATGGAAAAAATCGGCGGCAAAAAGTGGCAATACGAAAGTCTCAAGGAGACCCGCCGATCAGCTTCGGTGTTCTTATGGGAACCGGGCCTTCATCCGACGCTTCCCTGCCGCGCAATTCGACAGATTAGTGGAGTTCGTATTGGGCTGGCCCACCCGAAGTGCGCGCGGTTTCTGTGGTACAGTGAGAGTCCAGATTCAGAGGCCTTACCTCAGAGGGGTCACATTGGGTATTTGAACCCGCGACCCCGAGTGCCGAGTCTAGTCAACTCCTCTACCCTGACCGCTCAGCCACCGAACCAGCTTGTCAGCGGCGATGTCGCAACTCCTCTTGAGCTGCCGTTCGAGAAATCTGGTCCCGAAAAAAGGGTCCTTTGAGCGGTCTCGAACCCGGGACCTGCCGCTTCCCACATCATGCTCTTAACCACTGAGCCACCGGGACGCCATGCCACCCGCCCTGCCCGCGCCGGTACCCAATCTTCTCTGGATATGCCTCCCAAAGCAATTAGTCGCCGAAAAAATTGTATGTTCTACCGGTCCCGAACCCGGGACCTGCCGCTTCCCACAACATGCTCTTAACCACTGAGCCACCGGGACGCCATGCCACCCGCCCTGCCTGCGCCGGCACCCAATCCTCTCTGGATTTACCTCCCAAAGCAATTGGTCACCGAAAAATTTTGTATATACTACCGGTCTCGAACCCGGGACCTGCCGCTTCCCACATCAAGCTCTTTACCACTGAGCTATCGGAGGACCATGGTGCTCGCTCTGCCAGCGCTGGTACTCAATCCTCTCCGGATAGACCTCCTCAAGAAGTTTGTTGCCGTTGCCGAAAAATTTGCTCATGGCACTAGTCTCGAACCCGAGACCTGCCAGTCAGGAACAGAGCACTCTAACCACTGCGCCATCAGGTTGCTATGCACGCCACCCACCTAGCGCCAAACTTGAATAGCCAACCATCTTGCTTGATGCTGGACAAATTGTAAGTTCGGCGCTAGGAGAGCGGGGCCCATAGCAAACTGGTGGCGCAGTGGTTAGAACGCTGCGTTCCTGACTGGCAGGTCTCGGGTTCGAGACTAGTGCCATGAGCAAATTTTTCGGCAACGGCAACAAACTTCTTGAGGAGGTCTATCCGGAGAGGATTGAGTACCAGCGCTGGCAGCGCGGGCCTCATGGTCCTCCGGTGGCTCAGTGGTAAAGAGCTTGATGTGGGAAGCGGCAGGTCCCGGGTTCGGGACCGGTAATATAGACAATTTTTTCGGCGACCAATTGCTTGGGGGGGTATATCCAGAGAAGATTGGGTACCTGCGCAGGCAGGGCGGGTGGCATGCTGTCCCGGTGGCTTAGTGGTTAAGAGCATGTCGCGGGAAGCGGGAGGTCCCGGGTTCGGGACCGGTAGAACATACAAATTTTTTCGGCGACCAATTGCTTCGGGAGGTATATCCAGAGAAGATTGAGTACCAGCGCAGGCAGGCTGGGTGCCATGGTGTCCCGGTGGCTCAGTGGTTAAGAGCATGTGGTAGGAAGCGGCAGGTCCCGAGTTCGAGACCGCTCCAGGTACCCTTTTTTCGGGACCAGATTTCTCGAACGGCAGCTCAAGAGGAGTTGCGACATCGCCGCCGACAAGCTGGTTCGGTGGCTGAGCGGTCAGGGTAGAGGAGTTGACTAGACTCGGCACTCGGGGTCGCGGGTTCAAATACCCAATGTGACCCCTCTGAGGTAAGGCCTCTGAATCTGGACTCTCACTGTACCACAGAAACCGCGCGCACTTCGGGTGGGCCAGCCCAATACGAACTCCACTAATCTGTCGAATTGCGCGGCAGGGAAGCGTCGGATGAAAGCCCGGTTCCCATAAGAACACCGAAGCTGATCGGCGGGTCTCCTTGAGACTTTCGTATTGCCACTTTTTGCCGCCGATTTTTTCCATGAAACGCACCGCGGGAATGGCGCATCATTGCGCATCATTGAGACAGACAACTGACTGACGGTTCGGCATCGCCCTGCGTGTCCTAGTTCCCGCGCTTGTGTGTCGACGGCGTGATGGCACACGTTAAGGGGCGCCCTTTGTCGGCGGCAGGCTGTTTCCAAACGAGTCTTTCCATCGCTCTGTCTCTCTCGCACTCGTGGCGCGTCCCATAAAGGTGCGAGAGAGACAGAGGACTCTTCGGAATCGCTCAGCTTCTATGTTGGCCCGCACTGAAAAGAACAGAAAATAATAATGAATCCTGGGGGTTGAAGAGAGAAAAACTGAAAAACTGTTTGATACGCGTCCAATTATTTTTTGAACTAACTCGAGTCCCTTCGTTTCCCTTTGCCCTTACAGACTGCTCGACAACAACCAGCTGTCCTGCGTGGACGAGACGGCCTTCGACCCCCTGCGCGAGCTCGACGTCCTGTAAGTACGCTGCTGTTATTGCTTTGGTTTTCGCCCCAGACTCGCGTTACGGCAGACGGATTCCGAGAGTCGTTTTCGTCGCTCCGTCTCTCTCGCACCTGTACGGGACGCCCCACGAGTGCGAGAGAGACAGAGCGACGACTCTCGGAATCAGTGCGCTGCGTCTTGTGTCTTTTGGGGCGCTTCTCGGGTTGCGTGGCCCTGATTCCGTTTCCACGCCACTTGACGCGAAGGGAAGGAAGCGTTGGCGGAAAGGGTGGCAACCTTGGTGGCAACTTAACAACAACATCACTGTCCGCAGGACGCTCAACAACAACAACCTGACGTGGCTGCGCTCCGAGACGTTCTCCGGGCTGACGCGGCTGCGCGCGCTGCGCCTGTCCGAGAACGCCCTGCGCTGCGACTGCCACCTGGCCTGGCTGGCGCGCTGGCTGCGACGGTCGCCCAGGCTGGCGCTGTACACGCGCTGCGCCTCGCCCTCGCACCTGCAGGACCTCAGCGTGGCCGACCTGCACGACAACGAGTTCTCCTGCGCAGGTGAGGGGGGCGTTGCAACAAATTGATTGTCTTGTCTGTTCGAAAAGTATATCAGCACCGCAAAAAATGTTATTTTTACGGTGTTTCTTTTCTGGCCGCCCAGGTCCTTCGCCGCCCCCTGCGCCGGAGTGCGCGGGCGAGCCGCGGTGCCCAGTGCCGTGCCGCTGCCAGGACACTGTGGTGGACTGCAGGGAGAAGGGGCTCACGGCCGTCCCGGAGCACCTCCCGGAAGGCGTCACGGAGCTGTGAGTATGGCACTCCCCGGGGAAGCGTGGCACAGTGGGCCAGAAGACCGGCGGAGGCGCTCCAAATCCCGGACGCGTTTTGAGCTCCAGAGTCGCAAAATGGGACTCGAACTGAACGTGTGACCCCACCAATGGATTGCTCTCCGAACGAGGAATCCAATGGTGGGGCCACACGCTGGGTCAAGTCCTGTTCAGTGACTGGAGCTCAAAACAAATAACATCTCAAGACGGAGGCATCCCCATTCTTTGCCGGGCACCTGCCTACATCAGACACGAGCTGCGACACTGTTGACAACCCGCCCCGCCGAGCTCTCTCAGAAAACGTCTCTTATTGAAAACTTCTCGCCTCCTTTGGTGTCGCTCCTTGGGACTAATTTGGACGCCCCGCCTCGCGGTCCGATCTGATGCTCACACACACACACACACGCGCGCGCGAATTTCGGCGCGCGTTCGCTGAACAATGCCGCCGCGCTTCGCCACGCCGCGGCAAAACTCGCGCCGGCAAACGAGGCGCGGAGTTGTGATGATTCCGAACAGTGTGCTGCCTCTCTCGCTCTCGCGGCGCGCTCCGTAAGAACGAGAGAGAGAGATGTTTCGGGAGCGGACCCTGCAGACTGATTCCGAGAGTCGTCGCTCTGTCTCTCTCGCACTCGTGTGGCGTCCCATGCAGGTGCGAGAGAGACGGAGCGACGAGATCGACTCTCGGAATCAGTCTGCTGGTGGGCTTCTCGCACTTCGTAATGAACTCGCGGAGCATTATTGTTGGCCGCCCCTTCGGCTTTCCCCGCCCCTTTCCCCGCTTTTCCAACAATTCCTCTCATTTGCGGCACGCGTTTTCCGAAAACATTTTTTCCATTTTCAACCCGTTTTCTTCCCCTCTGAGCCTACACTTTGCACCGAGTTTACCTAGCACACTGGACGAAACGCTGACCCGCATTTGTCTCCTCCGCAGACGCCTGGAGCAGAACAAGATCACCGAGATCCTCTCCAAGGCCTTCACGCCCTACAAGCGGCTGCAGAGAATGTAAGTAGCCTCGGCACGCCTCGGCAGCCGAACGATTCCGCGGCCCGCGCGCTCTGTCTCTCTCGCACTCGCGGAGTGTGCCGTCGGGGTGCGAGAGAGACAGACGCACTGCGCGATCGCCCGCTCGTGCGGAAGAACGCAATCGCGAAGGAGCTGGCCGGGGAAGAGAAAGAAGGAAAAAAACGATTATTGTCGTATCGGAAAGTCGTGCAGCCTCACTTAGTCCTCATTTTCGACACATAAATATCGGAGCGCCGTCAGAGGCACTCGGAGATATTCCCACCGACGGCTGCTTTGCTGGGGAGAGCGGACCACCGCAAACCGCACCAAACTTGAATGTTTCGCACTGCCGCGCCACCAGGGCCCGCGGCCCGCCTCCGCGGTAAAGTCTCAAGTTTTCCCTGTCTTGTTGCAGAGACCTCAGCAACAACCAGATCGGCAAAATGGCCCCAGACTCTTTCCAGGGGCTCAAGGCTCTTTCGTCGCTGTAAGTGGAAACTTTTTTGTCTGTCCTTGTTTTGTCTTTTTTCCTCGAGTTTTTGTCGTTTTTGTTTCTGTTCTGAACCAATGTCATGGCGGCTTCGTCCTTTCAGGGTGTTGTACGGCAACAAGATCACGGATCTCCCCAAGGGCATTTTCCACGGACTGTCCAATCTGCAGCTGCTGTAAGTCTTGCCGCTCAATCCGTCGAGTTTCCTCGCTTCGAAACGAAATCTCGGTTTCATTTAATGAGTTTTCTGTTTCAGACTGATAAACGCCAACGAAATCTCATGCGTGAGGAAGGACACTTTCCGTGATCTCAATAACCTGAACCTGCTGTACGTACATTCGAGTGTTTTAATAAATTGTTTCTTGAGGCCTTTCTTTTTTCGTTTTTTGTTTTGAAAATTCTAAACCGCGTGGAAACTTTGTCCCCCAGGTCCCTGTACGACAACAACATCCAGTCCATCGCCAATGGCACGTTCGACTCGATGAAGAGCATCCAGACTCTGTAAGTACCAGTCACAAAACTTTCTGTCATTTTTTTTTTTTTTTTGTAAAATGTGTAAAGCTGGAGGGAAACCGCTGAGTAGCGGCCGACCCTCTCACTGCTAAGAGTGGAGAAGTGCACCGCCACGAATTGCCGCAAGGAGTTAGGTTAGGGCGACTCGGCGGGACAACTTGGACCGACTCAGACTTGTTGGCTTCCGCATCCGGTCAGGAAGCGCGGTGAGCCCGGCAGCCAGGCAGGCAGCCAGGCAGGGGGATGGACTAGAAGTGTGCCTCAAGTTGGACCTCTCCGGCGCCATCGCTCACCGCATTAAGATAGTCCTGCTTTCAAGTTGCGGGCCTGCAAAGGGAAGGAGAAGAAAAAGTACAGATAGATAGATAGATAGATAGATAGATAGATAGATAGACAGACAGACATACACAAAAAAAAAAAAAACACCCATATCTTGCCTGCTGACTCGCGCCTCGCCTGGTTCGTCTTCGGTTTTTCGGCGCAGCCCTACGGTGCAGGTGCAGGGTGATTCCGCTCCGGACGGTGACGGTCTCATTGCTCGCTCTGTCTCTCTCGCACCCTCTGAGCGTTTCCTCCGGAGTGCGAGAGAGACAGAGCGACTGCCACGCGGGGCGCGCCGTCAGTCAGTCAGTCAGTGTGGGAGAATGTCGCGCTTCCTCTGCGACCGACGACGAGCCCTCCGTGTAATGGGGCACTTGGGATGCGATCGCTCGCTGCGACTGCGGGAACTATTATCCGGTCACGGAAGTACAGTACCTGCGCCGTGAGCGAGGCGGCAGCACGGGGAGAGAGAGAGAGAGAAAGGGGCTTTCAGTTTTGAGCCGCCACGAGGAAGCAATGGGGTGGGGGGTTGGGCCCAGTATAAGCGCCTCCACTGCCAATTGGTTGCAAATTCCGTTATACCTGATTTTTAGGTATGATGTAGTAGTCTTAAAATATCCCACTGGTTGCATTTTGTTTTTGTCCAATGTGGCCCCTTATGCAATTTCGAAATTTCATTTTACGATTTTGATAAGGCTGGGCAGATTAGTAGAAATTTTTGCCGTGATTTCAGTGCTGAAGTGTGGTTGAAAAGTGCTCGACCAATTTTTGTTTCTTGTTGTTGTCTAACGCTGCTTGCAGGCACCTGGCGCGCAACCCCTTCATCTGCGACTGCAACCTGCGCTGGCTGGCGGACTACCTGCAGCGCCACCCGGTGGAGACGTCGGACGCCAAGTGCGACTCGCCCAAGCGGATGCAGCGCCGGCGTCTGGCCGCGCTCAAGGACGACCAGCTGCAATGTAAGGGTAAGGGGCCGTGGCTGCCAGCCTGGCTGTCCCGCCAGCCCTTCGTCCAGCCCGCCGGCCAGGCCCTGCCGCCGTCCCACCGCCTGGCGGCCACCAGGGCGGCCTCCAGGGCGGCCAACCGCGCCGCCAACGCCCGCCAGCAGAGGACGGCGTCGTCGTCGGGGGTCGGCGGTCGGGAGCAAGTCGGACGCAGGTTCAACTCCCCGCGGGGGCGAGGCAGGCTGGCAAGTGGGTGTCTTCTCGTCCGCCACCAGGGCGCTGCGTGCTGCCTGCCCGTCGCGGTGCTCGGCCGGTGCTTTCTGCCAATACTCTGCCCACTCACAGTGGCAGGTATCAGGGTACCACCCCCATGCCCCCTCCTGGTTCCGCCACTGCTTCCGAACTGTTCGATCGGCCCCTCCCCCTCGCCCCCACGCCCCACGGCGAGTGCGAGGGAGACGCGGCGTGGCGAGCCCCGTTCGGAGGCAGCCCCCCTTGCAGTGTCGCTTCCTTTGTGCCGGACCCCATCCACGCCGCGCTGTTAAAACTTGGACATGTCATTCTCTCTCGCTCATTTTTACATTCGGCGTCATTATATTTTCGCTCGTTACCCGCGGGAGGGGGAGAGGGAGGGAGGGGAGGGGGCGTTGACCGATTCCGAGAGTCGCTTTCGTCGCGCTGTCTCTCTCGCTCCGACACGGGACGCGCCACGAGTGCGAGAGAGACAGAGCGACGAAAACGACTCTCGGAATCAGTCCGCTGGTCCCGCGTCACTCCGCACCGCCGTGGGCCGTGGAGACAAATCGCTCGAGTGGAAGGGAGTAGGGGGCACCCCGTCCGGGCCTTTTCCGGGGGCACGTCTGGAATCCTGGAATCCAGGAATGCAGGATCCAGGAGTCGAGCAAGGAGGTCAGGATATCGCGAGACGGGTCGGGGCTGTGGGGCTGCAGGGCTGTGGGGTGTGGGAACGGTATTGCGTGTCTGCTCCGGTCTTCCACGTGGCGCCCGACGAGGCGAAGGTACAGGTGGTTTATTGGAGGCGTGGCTGCACCGTGCTGGGTCAACTCTTTTTTTTCTCAGTTTTTTTTTATCGACACCCTTCGCTGGTGATGGTTTGTCGCTGAGGCGGACACCGTGGCTTTTCGATTCATCGTTCTTCCTGCTTAGCACCTGTCGTCATTGTCATCCATTTGCGTCGCCATCTCCTCTCCCGGTGTGGATCCCGCTGCTGGCTTGCTGGTGTCTCCTTTCCAGATTCACTAACACAACCATCCGCCTGCCTTGTCTGGTCGCTGCGACCACACTAATAAATTGGGCAGGCAAGCGGCAAGGCTGTACGCGGCATGGCGGTGCAGCCTTGTCCAGCGCTCCATTGCATTTTGGGGCTGCTAGTGTGGCAACACTGCGGTCGGTCCGGCGTGCTGTAGCACTGTAGCGTTGCGTGTTTGGACACTGTCCGGGTTGCAGGCGTCGAGGAGTACCGCACGCGCCTGGTGGGCGAGTGCATGATGGACGCCGCCTGCCCCTCCGAGTGTACCTGCGACGGCCCCGTCGTGGACTGCTCCGGCCGCGGCCTCAAGGACATCCCCAAGGACATCCCGCCCTACGCCTCGGAGCTGTAAGACTCACTGATTCGCTTCTCATTTTACATTTGTTCGCCAGTTTGAGAACCGCACGTCTAATCGATTTTCTCGCTCTCTTCCTCCCTCTCTCTTCCTCTCTCTCTCTCTCTCTCTCTCTCTCTCTCTCTCTCTCTCTCTCTCTCTCTCTCTCTCTCTCTCTCTCTCTCTCGCAGGCTGCTCCAGGGCAACGAGCTGACCCGCGTCAAGGCGGACGGCGTGCTCGGCGGGCTGCCCAACCTCATCAAGCTGGACCTGTCCAACAACCAGATCACGGGCATCGACCAGCTGGCCTTCCAGGCCAACACCATGCTGCAGCACCTGTGAGTATCCTCCCTGTCGCACTCAGGGCGGGTGCCGCGTGGGTGCGATAGAGACAGCGCCGCAGCGGCCCTCGGCGCCCTGCAGTGGGCCGGCCGCACCACGCGCGTGTCTGGCGGGCCGGCCTGCCCTGCCGGGCGCTCCCCGAGGCGAGACCTCACGCACCTCTCTCCATCTCTGCCTCTCTCGTTGCAGCTACCTGTCCGGCAACAAGATGCGCGAGCTCCACAACAAGATGTTCGTCGGGCTGTCCAACCTCAAAGTGCTGTGAGTACGCCGGGATTTTGGGGCGACGATTTCGCATCGCGGAAGGAAAAGAAGGGGAAAGATGACAGCCGCGCAATATGGCTTGCCCTCCATTTATTTGCTGGCCGCCCCGCCACCCCCGTTGTCCTCTCTCTCTCTCTCTCTCTCTCTCTCTCTCTCTCTCTCTCTCTCTCTCTCTCTCTCTCTCTCGCTCTCTCTCTCCCCTGCCGGGCGACACGGCCTATCCGACTGGGTGGTCTTGGTCGCTAATCGTGACGAACGACCTCTCGAAGTGGCAGCGACCCCATCGGCCCCTCCCTTCTGCCACAATTAGTTGTCGAGTCAGTGACATAGCGACTGCCCCGGCGGCCAGCCCGAGCAGGCAGGCAGGCCGAGCTGGCAGGCAGGCCCACAGGGCGCATCAGGAGAGAGGGCCCGTAGAGGAGCGCCTCCCGCCGCTAACGCTGCGCTGCTTCCGTCTCTGCTGCCCCCATTGTACCGGCCGGGCGGACAGAAAGGCAGACAGACAGACATCCGGCTCGCCAAAGTTGCCCGCGCGCTTCGGCTCGGTTCGGTGGCATTCGGTCGGACGACATCAAAGCGAAGCAAAGCCAAGCAAAGCCAATCCGATATGTCTGCAGTCCGTCTTTCGCGCCGACAGGTTGAGGCATCCGTATCCCTGCCTGCAGTGCTCGCGAACCGAAGGCAACCCGCACAGGGCAGACGGCGCAGAGCGCGCAGGGATATTACTTTCCGCTGCCCCACACACAGAGAAAGCCGGAAAAAATAAGTCTCGAGAAAAGTTCACACACGACAGGCTTGATCTAAACTTTCTCATTTTGCTTTAAAATTTTATGACAGGTTTCCAACATAATTTCAATCTGAGCAAGATAGACTTTGCAAAAAAAAATGTGAACGCAGTGAAACACAGTGGACCGTACCGAAAATGGACTCGGGGCGACTTCCACGCCACCCTGACAGCCGTGCATGACCTTCTTGTTGCGTTGCAGGCAACTGACTGACAACCAGCTGTCGTGCGCCATGCAGGGTTCCTTCGACATGCTCGCCAGCCTCAAGTCGCTGTAAGTACCCGCCTCAGATCCACCCAGTTTTCCGCTGTCAAAAGCTGCCAAACTGCGAACACACTGTAAACATTTGTTTTCACTTTATGATAACTGTGGAGGCATCGTCCACATATGACGTCACGCCTGTCCTTGGTCTTCTTCCTGACGGACTGCCAGCGAGTGCGAGAGAGACAGGACACGTGACGTAATATGTGGCCGAAACCCGCAGTAGTTCGCAAACTAGATTACTGGATTCCGAGAGAGTCCAAAGTCCAGACCCTTCCCCGCGGCCGCTCCCGACCTTTCCCACTGACCTGGCTGGCTTGCTCCGCTCCGCTCTGCCCCACTGCAGGGACCTGACCCGCAACCCCATGGTGTGCAACTGCCACTTGGCGTGGCTGGCGGGCTGGCTGTCGTCCAGGGGGCTGGCCGCCGGCTCGCCCTCGTGCGCCTCGCCGCCGCGCCTCCGCGACGCGCCCGTCTACGAGATCCCGCGCCACGAGTTCAAGTGCCTCAGCGAGAAGGACGAGCAGGGCTGCCTGGGCGACGACTACTGCCCGCCCGAGTGCTCCTGCGCCGGCACCGTGGTGCGCTGCTCCCGGGCCCAGCTCACCGAGATCCCCCGCGGCATCCCCGCCGACACCACCGAGCTGTGAGTTGCTGTTGTTGTTGTTGTTTGTTTGTTGTTGTTCGCCGTGTACTCACGAGTGCGCTCACCTGTCGATTCCAGGTACTTGGACGTGAACAACATCACCACCATCAAGCCCGAGCGGCTCCAGCACCTGCAGAACCTGAACCGCCTGTAAGTGCAAAACTGTTTGGTGGCATTCCGTCCCTGATCATTCAATTTTTTCAGTGAGTGTTTTTAAAATGGTCGACTAACCGACTGGTTTCTTTTGCGCCCGCAGTGACCTGAGCAACAACAAAATCAGCATCCTGTCCAACTTCACGTTCGTCAATCTGACCTCGCTGTCGACCCTGTAAGCAGACTGAATGCGGCAAATCAAACTTCGTGTCGCCGTCCCCCTGTCCCCCTTCGGAGTTGATAATAACCCGGCTTTTCTGTCCCTGCAGGATAATCAGCTACAACAAACTGCAGTGTATTGAACGGGACTCCCTCGCTGGCCTCAAGTCCCTTCGAGTCATGTGAGTACTTGTTGCTGTCCTCAATCCGAGTTCATTCTGTGTTTGCACAATAATTCCGCACGTCATTCGTTTGTTTCATTGGTGTGTGTGTGTAAGTGTGTGTGAGTGAGAAACTTCCGGTTTCTGTTTTCAGGTCGCTCCATGGCAACGACATCTCCATGATTGCTGACGGCACCTTCACCGACTTGCACGCCATCACCCACCTGTGAGTGTTATTTTTGTTGTTTTTTGTTGTTGTTTGCTGACCGTTCACTGACGGTCCTCGTCCGACAGCGCCCTGGGCTCGAACCAGCTGTACTGCGACTGCAACCTGCGCTGGCTGGCCTCGTGGGTGAAGCGGGACTTCGTGGAGCCGGGCATCGCGTCGTGCGTGTCGCCGGACAGCATGAAGGACAAGCTGCTGCTGACCACGCCCTCCTCCGCCTTCACCTGCGACGGAAGTGAGTTGTTAAATCGGACACGTTTTTTGTTGTTTTTTACTGGTTTTTTTCCTGGGGGGTTGGTCTTGGTGAATGTCCTGCGAGGGGGGTGGGGGGAGGTAAATATACGGGGGCACGGTTACGAACGGTTGTACGCGCCGCAGTGATAGCGGAGCGGGCCTTTAATCCGCTTACTGACCCGGTCGCTGCACCCCGGCGGCCTGCAGACTGATTCCGAGAGTCGAGCGCGTCGCTCTGTCTCTCTCGCACTTATACTGACCGCCGCATGAGTGCGAGAGAGACAGAGCGACGAGAACGAGTCTCGGAGTCGGTCCGCAGGCCCGGCCGCCGCGGACGCCTGCGAAAGAAGGGGTAGGCCGGCCCGCCGCACACGCGAACGGAGCGCGCTGCCTACCCAGCCGGGCGCCCTCCGCGCCTGCAGCGAGCCGCGGTACACTGCAGTGCGGAGGGCAGCCTTTGGCCCTTGGAGGACGCGTTGGCCGTCCAAGTCTCTCAGTCCATAGCAAGGCTTTCAAGGCAGGCTGAGATTGTCAATCCTTTCGACACTGATGCACAGTGCCACCGGGGCGAAACTTTTCCCTAGTTATGTATGACTCCGCGCTCGAAAGTGAGAATCTGCGATCAAGTTTATCCGAAAAGTGTCACCTTCCTCACGTTGTCTTCGCTCCGCCGCTCCGCAGCGCCGCCGCCGCTGGGCGTGCTGGCCAAGTGCGACGCGTGCGCCGCCTCGCCGTGCCTGCACGACTCGCAGTGTGTGTCCAAGGCGGAGCGCCGCTTCGAGTGCGTGTGCGCGGCCGGCTACCACGGCGCCAAGTGCGAGCACGTCATCGACGCCTGCTTCGGCAACCCGTGCCGCAACCAGGGCACGTGCGTCGTCCTGGAGGAGGGCCGCTTCAGGTCAGTCACTCTTCTTTATTTCAGAATTTAAAAAAAAATTGAAAAAAAAAATTAGAAAAAAAATTTAAGTTGAAAAGGTTTTTCTACAAACTTTTTGAAAAATTAGATTGAAAAGTTGAAAAAAAAAATTCAAATTTTTCTATCATTTTCTTAATTTTTTGCCAAAAGAGAATTGCAGTGTGAGAACCTGACGATTGTGTTTTGCAGCTGCGACTGTCCCGCGGGCTTCTCCGGCGCGCGCTGCGAGAGCAACATGGACGACTGCGTGGAGCACAAGTGCGCCAACAACGCGACCTGCGTCGACCTGGTGGAGGCCTACCAGTGCAGCTGCGCCAAGGGATTCATGGGTACGTTCCACTTGCTTTAGTCAAAGCTGGTTTTATTTTCTATTTTGGACTTTTCTTTAAGTTACTTGGTTGGGCTGTCTGTCTAAGAGTCTCTTGGCGAATCTTTACGAAACTTAATCTCTCCCGTTCCGCTGGGCAGGTGAGTTCTGCGAGACCAAGATCCCCTTCTGCGCCGAGGGCTTCGACCCGTGCCAGAACGGCGGCCGCTGCGTGGACCACTACACGCACTACGTGTGCGAGTGCCCCGCCGGCTTCACGGGCGAGAACTGCACCGCCAACATCGACGACTGCCAGAACCACCTCTGCCAGGTAGGAGGATTCTTGCGAGTTCGAGATTCTGAGAGCAATCCATTGGTGGGGTCACACGTTCGGTTCGAGTTCCATCTAGCGACTCTGGAGCTCAAAACGCGTCTAGAGTTTTAGCCGCCTCCACCGGTCTTCTGGCCCACTGTGGGACGCTTCGCACAGAAGTCAGTGTCTCATTTTTCGTGTTTTGCTGTGCAGAACGGCGGCTCCTGCGTGGACGGCATCAACGACTACTCGTGCACCTGCCCCGGCGACTACTCCGGCAAGTTCTGCGAAGTGACGCCCATGGCGCTGATGTACCCGCAGACGTCGCCCTGCGCGCACCACGACTGCAAGCACGGCATCTGCTTCCAGCCGCCGGGCTCCAACGACTACGTCTGCAAGTGCTCTCCAGGTGCGTGTTCAAACAGATCCCAAAATTGTGAAACTTGATACGAGGAGCGGTACACTGTAACAAATCATGTTGGGAGTTAACAAACCCTAGAAAACAGTTGCCGACTGTTCCTCTTCTTTCGTAAACCACCAAGAATCTTTGTGAATTAACACAAAAATCTTCCCGAAATTTTTTTTCCAGAGGTACTTTTGTAAATTCCAGAGATTCATTTTCTCGGAGTGGGGGGTGTGGGGGGGGGGGTGACCTAAATAACTGTACAAAACCCTTTTTTGACGTGTTTTTTTGAACCGCAGGCTACTCGGGCAAGCGCTGCGAGTACCTCACCTCCCTGTCCTTCATCCACAACTCGTCGTTCGTGGAGCTGGAGCCGCTACGCACCAAGCCCGAGGCCAACGTGACCATAGTGTTCGCCACGGACCAGGAGAACGGCGTGCTGCTCTACGACGGCCAGTCCGAGCACATCGCCGTGGAGCTGTTCAAGGGCCGCATCCGCGTCAGCTACGACGTGGGCAACTACCCGGTGTCCACCATGTACAGGTCAGTCGCAATCCATGTTCGGATATGTAAACAAAGTACCATGTGGGCCGGAAACCCCGTGACAAAATGACAGGCATCGCAAGCAGTTCCGCCAGACACTGCTCCTCCCAGACCAGAGTGTCAGGGCTGCATTTTGTCAAGTGGTCTCTGGGCCACCTGGTACACAGTTTTTAACAAATTTAAAATATTTGAAATACATTGAACGCTTTTTTAACGTTGACTCTGTTGCTTTCGTCCCCCCTCCAGCTTCGAGATGGTGTCGGACGGCAAGTACCACGTGGCCGAGCTGATCGCCGTCAAGAAGAACTTCACGATGCGCGTGGACCACGGCCTGGCGCGCTCCATCATCAACGAGGGCGAGAGGGACTTCCTGCGCCTCACCACGCCACTGTACATTGGCGGCATCCCGCCCGAGCCCGGCCAGGACGCCTTCAACCACTGGCACCTGCGCAACCTCACCTCCTTCCACGGTCAGTGCACTGTGGGAACTGTGTGTGCACTGTCTGGATCCGCCCCCTGTCATTTCTTGATCTTTTTTTTTCAGTGTAGTTGGGTTTGTTGTTGTTTGGCTGGTTTCCCTTCTCGGTTCGACAGCGGCTTCCGTTCCTGTTGCAGGCTGCATGCGCGAGGTGTGGGTGAACCACAAGCTGTTCGACTTCGGCAACGCGGCGCGCACGCAGAAGGTGACGCCGGGCTGCTCGCTGCTGCACGACGACGAGCAGATGGAGGAGGAGGAGGAAGAGGAGACGGAGGACTCGCTGCTCACCGCGGCGTCCCGGCAGCCCGTGCAGCCGCCCGCGCCGCCGCCAGTGCCCCAGCAGCCCCTGGTGCAGCGCGAGGAGCCTCCGCGGGCCCGCGACCCCTGCCTCAACCACGCGTGCCGCCGCGGCTCCAAGTGCGTGGCCAAGAAGCCCGGCAACCCCGGCGAGTACACCTGCCGCTGCCAGCCCGGCTTCTCCGGGAAGTACTGCGACAAACGTGAGTACACTGATGTTAGAGGTCTCGGCTCGAATGGCGACATTGTCCTTGACATTGTCGTGGTGGGGGACGAGCTAAATCCGTAGAAGCCCATACTACCCCGTAGAAGTGTCTAACTCGGAGCGGGCGTCCTTGTTGCAGCGGGCCAAGGGTACCACGGCTACCAGAGTCTGCAGGGCATCCCGCCGCCCTTCCAGGGCATGCAGGTGTCTCCGCCGCAGCCCAGCACCGGCATGGGCGGCATCGGCGGCGGCGTGCTGGCCGCGGGGCCGGCGTGCCACAAGAAGCAGACCCGCGAGTACTTCTCGGAGAACGGGTGCCGCTCCAGGAAGCCCATCCGCATGGCGCACTGCGACGGCGTGTGCCCGCACGGCGGCTCCTGCTGCCGCCCGCGCAAGACCAAGCGGCGCAAGGTGAGGGCGGAGCGTCACACAGTGGGCCAGAAGGCCGGTGGGGGCGGTGACGGTGAGTTTCGGCCGCTGGCGCTTTGCTTTTAGCAGTGTGCTGACGTTGGGCTGCTCGGCTGTCCGCAGGTCCGACTCATCTGCAGCGACGGCTCGCGGTACACCAAGGACATGGACATCGTGCGCAAGTGCAGCTGTGCCGGCAAGTGTGCGGCCGGCATCAACAACTGACTACCAGGCCCCTCCAGCTCGTCCCCCGGCCACGCCGCCACCGCGACGACCACCACCGCCACCACGACCCTGGCGCCCGGCATGAAGCTGGTGCCGCTGGTCGTGTACTCGGGCACGCCCGGCGTGCACTCGCCGGTCAGGATGACGGCGGTCAACGAGTCGACGCTGGTGGGCGCGGTCATCACGGCCAGCACGCGGCACCGGCCGGGGGGCGGCGCCATCACCACTGCCACCAACATCACCACCACCATCACCAACGTCACCACCTCTTCCACCGCGCGCCGGCCGCGCCTGCGCCTCGAGTCCGCCCTGGTGGACGCGGCCGTGTGCTTCGCGTCGGCGTCGCTGCTGGGCTCGCTGCTCGTGGCCGCGGCCTGGGCGGCCACCATGGCCAGCCTGCTGCTGCTGTGCCCGCGCAGCCTCATCGCGCCGGCCGACTTCGTCTGACTCGGTCTGACGACGGCCCGGCCGCGTCGCGGCGGAAGGGGAACAGTGATTCAAGGGCGATTTCTTTTGAGTTGTTGATTTCGTTTTTCAAATTGCGTTTTGTTCTGTTGTTTTAATTTCTTTCGGTCGCGGGAGGCGAAGGAACACTTAGTAGGGCGCCACGCTTCTGCGGACGAATGATTGAAAAAAAGGCTCCCGGGCGTCTCCCGGCCGGCGGGGCCGCGGCGGAGGGAAGACCAAAAGCCAGGTCCGCGTCGAACCGAAATGGAGACCCCAAGTTGGTTCGGCGCGGAGGTGGCCCCGCCTGGAGAGCTAGGACCTACAGTCCTATAAGACTCTGAGGACCTTCAGTCCTGTGGGACCTAGGGTCCTTTTGGACTTAGTGCTCTAGCCTCGCCTCAACCCAGAGGGCCCCGTCAGCCGTGGAGGCGTGCGTGTGCGCATGGTGAGCTCGGGGGGTGGTCACTCAGGGATTTCTAAACGGCAAATCCCAAAACAGATTTTATATGTCATTTCATTCCTCATACTAATTTTTTTAAAAAACAAATTATCCATCAATTATCAAAAATTATCGCCTCAGTAGACATTTACCATGTGTTTTAAAAACCTTATTAGGAAACGGGTGGTCTGTTTTTTATTATGGTTCCAGGATGTTTTTTATACTCTAAAACTGCAACAAAATTATGTAAGAAGTCCGATGTAAATTCTGTAAAGACTCTCCTTGTTGGCTTAAAAAACAGTGATAAGACAATGAGATTGGGACTTTATACATGCAAGGCAACGAGGAAAAGTCTGTATTTCTTAATCGAAAACTTACACTTTACTAGTTTCCTTATATTTATTGGCGAATACGGTACCGTCTATACTATATTTATTCGCTTTCCCGCTACTACTCTACGCTATATTCTTACCAATCTTTGTAGCTTGTATTTATTGAATTTCTTTTGTTTTTATTTCTTGTAAACCTTATGTTACCTGTAATTTTCTTTGGTTCCTTTGACACGTTTTGCTGGCCTTGAGAAAGTGTGTGTGGAATTAATGGGCAAAAGCATGGAGGGGCCTGGAGTCGGGTGCGACCTGCGGCTCAAGAGTATTGTCGCTTCTAGTCGCCCGCCGATAGAGACTTTATAACTACCTGCTAGTTTACAACACAGTCACAATTTAGCTCTCTGTAAATAGTTCGATAGGATATATACTTTATTCTGACTGAGCCTACGTACTGTAACAGCGTACAAACTGGTTTTCCTGGCGTAATTTTGTTTAACATGGAACAAATGAATTAAATAGATTTTATGAATGGGTCACTCGTGACCTTGAGTTAACTCTCAATATCACCAATGTATTATGCGTTTATGTCGTGATTTCTGAACGATTGTTCTCATCTTAAGTAGTTCAGTACTATGTGTCTCGTACAAGTTCTCGTCAAATCTCATTACACTACTTAGAAGTAATTACTATTGCTGTGAAATAATTTAATTAAGTATGTTTTTTCACTACCTACAACCTATAATATCATTATAATATAGATGTGTATAAATGTAAAGAAAATGATTATACGTAGGAAATAAAAATTTAGTGACGTTTTACTGCGCGTTACTTCTTTTCCCCGAAAAACATTTCCCCCTTTTTTTCCGGACTGGTTCAGCGAACTCTGGCGACTTGGCCTCTCACATTCGACACAGCAGCAGCGTTCTGTACACTATCAAGGGAATGCGGCGGAGAGGGCGGCACTGGGGCGAAGCAGCTGTACGGTGGGAGGGGAGGGGGGGGGGAAGGGCAGCAGGACAGGAGGGCAGTGGAGGACCAGTGAGGCAGGGAAGGAAGGGTGCGGCTGCGTTTGTGTGCAGAGATGTGTGACAGTGGGGTGCGGCGGGGCGGGGCGGGTCGTGGCGCGGCGGACGCACCCTCCGTAATCTGTCTAATTTCGCACCCCTGCCTCACCCCGCCGCGGCGCCGGCGCCTCGGCTCGCTCTCTCTTTCTCGCTCCTCGTTTTGATTACGTATCACAATAACATTGCAGCACACTGTTTTATGCGCGGCGCGCGCACCGTCCTGGGACGCGAGGCAATCGGAGGGCAGCGCGCGAGGTCGCGGCATGGCGGCGAGGCGAGGCGCCCTGCTCCCCTCTCGACAGCATATGGTCCGACTCCAGCCACCCCGACCGCCGCCACCGCCGCACCCACCACTACCAATCACCGAAAAGTGCAATAACCGGGAAGCACGTGTGCTTTAGCGACAACCATGGCCCTGTCATTGCGAAGCGCCGCTTTGTCGTCGCTCTGTCTCTCTCTGAACCCTGACGGAAAGCCACAAGCGTGCGAGAGAGACGGTTCGGACACAGCGCGCGCTGTTGCCCGCGGCCCCGGCAGGCGCCATACAGCAGGCCAGGTTTCTGGCCCACTGTGCGTCAGGGCCAGGGGCTACACTGTCAACATTCGTTAAAACACACGCGTCGCCGTCGCCCGCCAGCCTGGTGGCGTGGCGGACCGGCCCACCCTTTCAGACGACCATTTCCGCATTATTTTCGTTCCCTGACCGCCTTGCTTCGCCTTATCGGATGTTTATCCGGCCGTTTGGATTGAGACGTCAGGAGGCGGAGCCTGGAGGCAGCCGGCCTCCAGGGGGGCGTGCGAAAGCAGAGCGACGGCGCCGCCCAGCAGACTGGTTCCGAGAGTCGTTTTCGTCGCTCTGTCTCTCCCGCACCCACACGGGTCGCCCCGTGAGTGCGAGAGAGACGGAGTGACGAAAACGACTCTCGGAATCGGTCTGCTGAGCGCTACTCGGACGCGGCCCTCGCCACGCAACACGGCGCGTGTTTCGGCACGTGACGCGCACGCGATGTGCACGCGACCCCGCGGTGTGCCGTGCCGCGCCGTGCCCCACTCACTCCCCAGAAGTGAGCTCGGTCCCTGTGGGGCCACGGCGCCGACGGCTTCGCCACCCCTACTGGTGGTAGCAGCAGCAGCAGCACTGCAACTGCAGCGGAAATAGACAAAAGTGCATCAGCTAAATTAATGACTGTCCGCGCTCCAGTGTTTAAACGAGTACATTGACTGCAGCACTCGATTCGAACACGCGAGGGCTCGACAATGAGATCGATCAGTACATCCTCATTCTGGCAGTTTCTTCTTCTTTGGTTGTCTGGCCGCACTGAACCTTGGTGGAAGTGTCCAGGGCCCGTTGTGCGCGTGCATTGGCCAGCTGATGGAGACTGCGGCATGTGAGCACTGAAAATGAGAAAACACACAGTAAGTTTGACAACGCCTGTAGACTGATTCCGAGAGTCGTTTTCGTCGCTCTGTCTCTCTCGCACTCATGAGGCGTCCCGTGTAGGTGCGACAGAGACAGAGCGACGAGAACGACTCTCAGTGTGCCGCTGGCGCGCGCTGGCGTCCGTCCGGCTTAGGGCCGGCCCCTCGCGACAATACCGGCAGGGCGAATAACCACACGCCGCCTCGCGTCATTCATTAATTAAAAATGGAAACATGGAAATATGGGCGCCGCGGGCAGCGGGGGGTGGGGGTGGGAGGGGAGGGGAGGCTGCGCACGTGTAGCTGCAACTCCGATGAGGACCGCGCCCCGCCGGGCGTAACAAGTGGGAGAGAGACGTGAGTCACACAGCGGCCACCCCAACTGCACCCTGCTCGCTGCGTCCGAACTGCGCCTCTCTCGCTCTGTCTCTCTCGCACTCCGCCGGGGCGGCCCCACCCCGCTGCTGGAGTCCGCAAGGGTGTGTGTGAGAGAGACAGAGTGGCGCGCGCCGATTTCGGAGTGAGCAGCCTCCGTGGGGCTGCGCGAGTAATCTTCCACTGATCCCGGATAACGACACAGAGATCGGTCTTGGCGTTGCGACGCGGCGACGCGGCGAGGCGAGTCAGTCACCCCCGGCATTGCATTGGCATCCACTGGGGAAATGACCCGTGCAGGCGACCCAGCCGCCGCCGCCCCACAGTGGGCCAGAAGACCGGTGGCGGCGGACAAAATTCTAGAAGCGTTTTGAGCTCCAGAGTCGCGATACAGGACCTAGTCCCTGAGAGTGCAACGACCATACCGCCCCCAAAAGAAAGGGTTCAATTAAATTGAAACCCCCGACGCGTTTAACTCAGCGAAAATGGTTGTCATTTGCTGTTGTGACACCTCGAATGCGCGCCGTCTAATTTTCGAGAGGTCCGCGTGGCCAAGCGGCGGGGTGGGGCAGGGCAAGGCGCGCCACAGCGCGGTAACGCAATAATAACAAATTTCCGCGCAAAGTGCCTTTACCCGTTGGAGATACCGGCACGCACACCTCCGAGGCTTATCGGCCCCGCACGGCATGCCTTCAAGCTGCCACAGTCTCACAGCGCTGCAGCAACAACAACGCGACGGCGACAACAACAACAGCAGGGACACAAAAACGACGGCAGTGGGGCAACGGCCCGGGATGCCGGTAAGGGCAGTGCAGGCACAACACGCCAAAGGCGGCCTAAGGCCGAGCGAGCCGAGGGCTGCCGTGGCAGTGCCGTGGCGTGGCGGCAGTGTCGCGCCGGGAATGGTGCTACTGGGGATGTGGGGCACTTCACCCTCCGGCCGCCCCGCCCCGCCCAGCGCTGGGGTGCGCACCCCACTGCTATATTCGTAACCCCCAGTGGCGCGGTGGGTTTGCGTGGAACTTAACAAGTGTGGCATTCGGTTATGAGGATGGCGATAAAAGCACGCCTTGGCGCCACGCAACAGAGACCGCCCGCTCCCCCGGCAATGCCCGGCAGCCCCAACAGTCCGAAGGCACGCACGTCGCGGATTGGGGATGCACTGCTGGCCTCGTCGCTCTGTCTCTCTCGCACTCACGGGGCGTTGGTGGTGTTGTTGTTGGCCCTTTATCACGCACAGTTGTGACGGGACGAAACTTATCGATAGTATTTTGGCATTCGATCAATCACACGGCGCCATTGGGAAGGCGGCGCTCCTCAACGCGCAGCGCGGTCTCTCAACAGTGTGCCGTCGCACTGTCTCTCTCACACCCCTCAAGGCGGGCAGCGGCATGGGTCCGAGTGGTGCAAGAGAGACGAAGAGCGAAAAGTGTTCGGAATCGGTCCGCGAGCACGCGTGAAAGACGTATCAGGCTGATGCGCGTTATGGCGGAGAGACACGCAGTGCGGCGAGCAGCTTGGAGCGGCAGGGACTCGGGGAAGCATCCTAGTGGCTGGCCGAACCAGGCATGAGTCATCGAGATGGTTGCCAGTTTTGGTAAATCTGTGGCGAAGTTACACGGGGACAGTCCTGCGGGGACACAAGGAACATCGGTCCCGAAATGCCTGTGTGTTCTGTGTGTATTCTACCAGGCTGCTACGCGGGCCAGGAGGTAGACAACACTCTGAGTGTGTTACACGGGGACACACAGCGGTCCTGCGGGGACACAAGGGACATCGGTCCCGAGATGTCTGTGTGTTCTGTGTGTATTCTACCAGGCTGCCACGCGGGCCAGGAGGTAGACAGTTTACACTCTGAGTTGTGTGTGTTACACGGGGACGGGGACACACAGCGGTCGTGCGGGGACAGAAGGGACATCGGTCCCGAGATGTCTGTGTGTTCTGTGTGTATTCTACCAGGCTGCCACGCGGGCCAGGAGGTAGACAGTTAACACTCTGAGTTGTGTGTGTTACACGGGGACGGGGACACACAGCGGTCCTGCGGGGACACAAGATTCAGAAGGGACATCCGGTCCCGAAATGCCTGTGTGTTCTGTGTGTATTCTACCAGGCTGCTACGCGGGCCAGGAGGTAGACAGTTTACACTCTGAGTTGTGTGTGTTACACGGGGACACACAGCGGTCCTGCGGGGACACAAGATTCAGAAGGGACATCGGTCCCGAGATGCCTGTGTGTTCTGTGTGTATTCTACCAGGCTGCTACGCGGGCCAGGAGGTAGACGGTTAACCCTCTGGGTTGTGTGCTCGGGGACACACAGCGGTCCTGTGGAGACACAAGATTCAAGATTCAAGATTCAAGATTCGTGGAGCGTGGCGATATCCACACGTTGCCAGACTGGGAGTCCACGAGGTGACGGGCCGGGCAATGATTCCTATGGTAATCTAAATGGTAATGACATTTCACCACCCCTGCGCACACGATGCCCACACTGCAGCGATGCACACCCCTGGAGGGTGGCGCCACTGGGAGACGGCGAGGGTGTGAGTTGAGGGTGGCCCGGGCATTCCATTGCGCTACGTATGACTCATCCTGCATCTTGCGAGCGGTGTAAGCCAGAACAGTAGCGCTCTGCGATAGGGGAAGACGCTGGTGGCGGCGGGAAGTGGCAGAGACCGGCATATAAATTGAAAAAAGCCACGATTCCATTTTTGGAAGATACTTGTTTTCTCACTGAACCTTAATTAAATTTTGTTCTTACTTCAGGATAGTCTATACTTTGACGATCAAATAGTTTTTTTTGGTTTTGCCTTTTGTTTTTCTCGTTCAAAATTTTTTAAATTCAAATTTTAGTATGAAATCAGTATTTGCATTTTGTTGTGAGTGCACCAAATTTTCTGAAAGTTAAAGTTCAAGATTAATGTAGGCAACCTAACGCAGGTGGTTGTGCGAAAACCACGAAAATACCCCACACCGTCAGTTATTTGCCGGACATACTCCGCGCTGAGAAGCGCGCAGTAGTGCCACGCGGCGCGGCGGCCGCTTGGTGACGACCCGGCGAAGAGGAGTGGTGGTGGAAGAGGAGGGGGAGGGGGACGGGTGTTTTGAAATTTGTTGATGCGCTCGGATAAGCTGAGTTGGCGTAATTTGTAGAGTGTAGTCGCATTTATCTGCCAGTTTTACAGAAGAATGATGCTGAGGACGCTGCGGGCCGTGTCAGGCGTCAAGCCGATCTTGCGAAAGGTAAGTGTCAATCCAACGTGTTCTCACAAATCTCGAAAGAACGACAACCTTCGTGATCCTTGGTTAATTAAACATGCACCTGTATTTGTCTCTGTGTTCGTCCCTTTTCATGTTATCACTGATAAGTTAGGTTAAGCCACGGGTAAGATTCACGGTCAAAGGAAGTAGTGGGCACTTCCTAGTATCAGTGATTTATCTGGACTAGTTCTCTTAAATTTTAACAATTGTGGTGAAAAAGAAACAGCAACATCATCCTGTTTAAAATACCCCCTCCCTCTCACTAATTAATCAACAGCCTTGTTGGTCATTCATGATCTTTTCCGTATTTTTTTCAGAGCCAAGCTTCATGTTACAAGAAGGCAACAGCTCAGATCGCTTCTCAAGCATCTATTGATGGAACGTCTGCCCCCCTCACTGCCCTCACCGAAGATGAACTTGTACTTAAAAATATGGGTATTGTATCCTTTCACATTAAAAATAAAACAAAACAAATAACTGTGCACTTAATTATTTTATCTGTGATAATATACTAAGCACATTTGATTTTTACAGTTGCTAAACTTGCCAACGAGAAAATAGCACCATTCGTAAAAAAGATGGATCAAGAAGGAAAATTTGATCCTGGTGTTCTTGAGGCTCTTTTCGAAAATGGAGTAAGTTGCCTCGATGTTAGAATCGTCCTCTTCAAAATTATTTTGCTTTCTTTAATCTTGCGCCACTTTATCTTCTTCTGTCTGATAGCTTATGGGCATTGAAATAGAACCTGAATATGGTGGTTCAGGGCTATCATTTATGTCATCAATAATTGTTGTGGAAGAATTATCTAAAATAGATCCTGCTCTAGCAGTGTATGTTGACATTCAAAATACCCTAATCAATGCTTTGATACGCAAGATTGGAACACCTGAACAGAAAAGCCACTACTTACCACTTCTTGCTCAAAAAGCTGTAAGTTTGTATATTTTGAGGTGACTTTGCACTGCATTTAAACTATACCGTTTTGAGCACTGTTTTTCCTGTATGTTTAGGGTGGTAGTTTTTGCTTGTCGGAACCTCAGTCAGGGTCTGACGCATTCGCAATGAAAACTGTTGCCATTAAAGACGGTAGTGACTATGTCATTAATGGAACCAAGATGTGGATCTCCAACTCAGATGTTGCGGGGGTGTTCCTAGTCATGGCAAATGCAAATCCTTCTGCGGTAAGTTGCATATCCTCCTGATATTGAAGTACTGACCATGAAATCAATTTAATAATTCTACCCTCGGTCTTTTTTCAGGGTTACCGTGGGATAACCTGTTTTATTGTCGATAGAGATACACCAGGCCTTTCAGTTGGCAAGAAAGAGAGTAAACTTGGAATGCGTGCCTCAGGAACTTGTATGGTTCATTTTGACAATGTGCGGGTATGTTAATCTAATTTCCATTGTAGATATTTTAGTTTTAGCTGAAAGTTTACTTGTCAGGCATAAACATTAATACTATACTTTCTTCAGGTTCCAGAGTCCAATATTTTAGGTGAATTTGGACATGGCTACAAATACGCAGCAGGATTTTTGAATGAAGGGCGTATTGGGATTGGCGCCCAAATGGTTGGTTTGTCACAGGGATGTTTTGATGCCACCATCCCATATACATTGGAGAGGAAGCAATTTGGTCACAGTGTCTTTTCTTTCCAAGTAAGTATGTGCGAAAAATGTTTGCTCTTGATTGAATTCTTATACCCCTTACCAACTCTTTTTTTTTCTCTAGGGAATGCAACATCAAATTGCTCAAGTCGCTACCCAGATTGAGTGTGCTCGACTCCTTGTGTATAATGCTGCAAGACTTCAAGAAATGGGATCAGACTTTGTCAAACAGGCAGCAATGGCCAAGTACTATGCTGCAGGTGAATTGAACTGAACTATGTGAATATTTTAATTTAATTTCACTTTTTCTCATGATGGTTTATGTTTTCATCCAGATGTGGCTCAGTTGACAACATCTCGTTGCATTGATTGGATGGGAGGTGTTGGTTTCACCACCGATTTCCCGCAAGAAAAGTTTTACAGAGACTGTAAAGTTGGAACAATTTATGAAGGGACAAGCAATATTCAACTAAATACTATTGCAAAATATATTCATAATGAATACGCACAATAGCCTTTTTCAGAATTTCAAAATTAAGGAATTTGTTACAGCTGGACTCATGAACTTTCATTCCCATGACTCCTAGGGCTGCACAGTCCGGATTTTGTCAAACTTGGAGCATTGCAGCCCTCCACCATGAGCCTGAGAGATGCTTTGTAAACAGTCCCAGAGTTAACTCCAGTGAAAGACCATAGATCTTGTGAAACCTCGAATTCTTGTACTGTACCTGTGTAATATTGGACTGGTGTGATAAGTCTTTTTATTTTGTGTACTTTTTCTTACATTTCTTTATATGACTTTCTAGTCGAGGTAAAGCTGTGCCATGTGTATTTTTTCTATGTATTTTCTAAAGCATTTAAACGATTAATGAAGTTTTTGTTATGAAATTTTAAAATGGTTATTGTATGAATATTTTTTTTATTATTTTAACTGCTGTTATGCGGCACCGAGACTTCAAAAGTGATTGCGTTAAAACAGTTCTTATAAGGCTCTGATTGCATGGATGATAAAGAAATAAATTGTAAAAAAAAATGTTGTTTTGTTATTTTTGCTATCCTGCAGCACGTACCCTGTAAGTCATGCAGAAGTTTCCAACTGACAAAATTTCTTCAAGGAAAGAAGTTCCGTCTGCGATGGCAATACTCCACGACTACAAACTTGAATCAGACAACCACCCTGCACAGAGACTAGCTGTCTGTATGGATGTAAACTGGTATGAAAAATCGAGAAGACCGAACTCCCCGTTATTTTTTGGACGCTTTCGAAACAAGCAATTTTGCCGGCGTCTAGTTTTCTTTCTAAGAAAGATTTATTTATTTTTCTGAATTATTTTCATCGCTTACCTACTCTATTGAGTATATTTCCTTAGATAAGATTAAGTATTAAGAGTATTCTTGCTTTTTGTGGCTCGGTTTGTTGGAGCGTCTGCTGGGTGTAGGTTAGTAGCACGACTATTCTGACATTCTGACAGATTCAGACAAAGGTATTGCTAATCATCCCGAAGTACCGCTGCATTTTCTGATGCTTTTTCTGGTGTACCCTTCAGGTGTTGTCTAATCCTGGAATCCAAAAGGCTGAATTGAAACTCAATGTCGGGTCATAATCGTTATTTGGTACCAGACGATGAGGAGCGGGCTAGAGAAGCTGTCAACTCTATTCTGGCTCTTGGAGATGATCCCCCACATTCTAAACCACAGGTAAATATAGAATGGACTTTGAGATTTGTGGTAGTTGTCATTGTTATGTTTGTTCTCATGTCTGTTGATTTGCTTGCAGAACTTCTATGAAGACCGTTCTGATGAACAAACGTGGACATCAGAGAATCCTAACGAAGTTGAGCCAAGTTATAGTCAAGCTGAGAGAGATAAAGACCGACGTGCACAATCATCTTTTAAAAGCCATGACCGCTCTAGATCCAGGTCCAGGTCCAGGTCCCGGCCCAGGTCAAGGAGTCCGCTTGGAACTAACCCTGAAGAAGATGGTACCACCCGAACTGAAAGAGATGAAGACAAACCTATTCAAGAATTTAATAAAACCCGTGACCGCTCTAGGTCCAGGAGTCCACATGGAACGAAGCAAGGAGATGATGGTAACGCCCCAACTACTTCGCAGTCAGCCTCTCCAGAGCAGAAAACCTTGTGCAATGTGGTTGCTGCCCACTATAATAATGTGCCAGAAACAGGGTTGGATGAACGCAGTAAGAGCCGCATCTTGTATCTTCGCAACTTCAACAACTGGATCAAGAGCATGTTAATAGGTAGATTGATCATATTAATTGATGCTTTAAGTGTTCCTATTCTGTTACTGTAATCATTGTTTCATTGTCTAGATGAATATATTACAAAAGTGAGAGAATCCAAGCCTAGAGGATCAACTCTTAGAGTGCTTGACATGGGTTGTGGGAAAGGAGGTGATTTGTTTAAATGGCGGCAGGGCAAGATCACTCATCTTGTTGCTGCAGATATTGCTGCAACCTCTGTTGAACAATGTAAAGAGCGTTACAATGACATGAGGCAACGTGCTCAAAGAGAGAGAAACTTCAACCCTATATTTTCTGCTCAATTTATTGTAGCCAACTGCACCAAGGTATGTTTACTATGTGTGTTTTTTGAAAACATTGAGCCGTTGGGAGTTTATCCTCAACTGTTCTTAGGTTTATTATAATTCTTCTCATTATTATTAACAAAAAAATTATTATAAACTTAGGATAGGTTACGGCATAAGTACGAGGATGTGACAATGCAATTTGATTTGGTCAGCTGCCAGTTTGCCTTCCATTATTGTTTTGAAAGTTTACCTCAAGCAGAATGCATGATGCGCAATGCTTCAGAGTGTCTCAGGCCAGGAGGCTTCTTTTTTGGTTCATGCCCTAATGCCAACGCTATAATGTGAGTTCCTTTCTCCTACCTTCGTTTCTTGCACAATCTTTTTCTTTTTTAAATTTTAAATCAGATGCATGTCTTGTCTTTGATTCTAATGTCTTGTTCTTCTCTTTTTCTTTAGATCTAGAGTCCGGAAAGCGGGAGGAAAACGATTTGGCAATGATGTTTTCTCAGTGGAATTTGAAACTCCTGTCGATGAGGAAGAGCCACCACCCCTCTTTGGGGCTCAATACAACTTTCACATGGAAGGAGTTGTTGATTGCCCAGAATTTCTGGTTCATTTTCCTACATTCATTAGGTTGAAATTAGTGACACTATCTGTGACCTTATTAAAACTAGATTTATTTAATCATGCTCTAAAATCTTTTTAGACTTGCATCCAGATTTGGATTGAAATTTATTGGTTGTGAACCATTTCAAGCATTTTACGAGCGCATGAAAGAGAACGGCCGTGGTCTTTTGGGAAGAATGCAGGCACTTGAGGTATGACAATTCTTAGCTTTCGCGTGATTTTTGTGGATTTAAATGTCTGAACTGCGTAATTTCTTTCCCTCCATTCTGAATTTTAGACCTACCCTCCATTTCCTGATCAACCTTTGATGGGTCCACTTTCTCAGTATGAACATGCTGATACTTTCTTAAATACCAACAAACAGGTCAACCGGCTAGGCACTCTCAGTAAGGCTGAATGGGAAGCTGCAAGTAAGTAACCGAGTTTAAAGTTTTTAACTTATCCAAAGCTGTGGTCGATAAATCACCTTTTTTTTTTCCCCAGCACTTTATTGTATTTTCGTGTTTGAAAAAGAGAGTTCATGATAAAGGAAAAACGGCAACTGATAATATTTGATGCTGGTACCGTCTGTCAGTAATGGGGTCTACGATGAACTATGACTATGAAACATAGATGACTGTTCCTTATTTTTTAAATGTAATATTAGGTAGGAAACAAATGAATTCAAGGTCTCCTGCATTGTTTTTGTTTTTTATTATAAACAATAAATCTTTGATCACAACTTACACAAAAAAGAAGCCTGTGTCAATATTTTAATTAATAAAATAGGGAATACCATATCATTATAATACCATCACTAGATACATTTTGCAATTTGGAAGCTGCTGCTTTAACATGTTAATGAACTACCATAAGAGTAGCTTTGAAGCAGTTGCAGTGAACATACCAAGTGCATCTATAATCCAATCGATGCAATGGAAGATGAAATTTAGCATGCTAGTGTAACTTCATTTTTTTAGGACTTTATCCACAACACAATTATTGCTTACCACAGGCCTTCGGGCTCTGGACCCATGAAAAAAAAAAAAAAAAAAAATAAGATGCAGACTAGTTATTAGTCTCATTCACAATGTAAAATAAATTGTAAATTAGAATCAAAGTTTTGTGGATAATACAAAATAAAATATAGACATAAAAATGATTTAAAAAGAAACATGATAAAAATAAGAATCTCATACTTGCCCTAAAGGAAGTAAAAATGACTAGGCGAAGTTCTTAAAAGTACAGGTTAAAACCAGGTCTCAAAATGAAAGATGAGTGATTAGCTAATACCAAGCTTTTCTAATACAATCTGCAAGACACATACATTGGTTACCGGTATATTTCCTCCACAAGTAAAAGGATCCAATAAAACTAGTACAAAAAAGGTACAAGTACTGAACCTTGAGATCATATACCAAGCTGGCCTTCATCAAGAATAATTGAAGTCATTCTTCAAAGACTGTCTTCTTGCAGGCAACTGCCAATGTCAGTTCCAGTGCAGCAATACAACATAGATTAGACGTTTCAATGAGAGGCAGCAACTTCTTCAGCTAATTATTCGAAAGGCAGGAATGGAACCAATGGTAAATAAATGAAACCCAACAATAGGAAAGTTAATAAAGTAATCTTCAAATGCAAATTGATTCCCACTTTTTTTAAAAATCCCCACATCAAAAGAAGAAGTTTTAAAAGGGGAGTAGTATAACATAACCATAGTTATTCATTAATTTTTGTCAATAAAATAAATATTTTTAACACCTGACTTTGAAGCATGGTAACAAATAGAAAGATAATTCCAGCATGCACCTCAGATACCCCCACACTATTGCAGAACACAATTCCTGTCATCAGATTTGGCTTCTGTATTGACACCTTCAATTTTCACCTCATTTACTGGTTTGAGGTCTCCTTCAACTTTAGCTGCAGCATTCTGAAGAACAGTAAAATATGCGTACAGAGTGAGACATAAGGTTCAAGAAAGAAAACAAAGACAGACAAAAATATACATACAGAGTTGGCCGCATCAGTTGATGTTTTGGGGTAATCAATAGCAGCAAATGCCACAGGTGTCCAAAGCGGCGAATGGTTGGGCATTTGGAATTCAACAGGACTAGCCAAGCCATATGTTGCCTTCATTTCTAGCTCAGGAGGATCTGTGGGTACTTTCTGGTGATATCTAACATGAAAGAGAGGCATATTAAATTTTGTACTCTGACTCTTATCTCTAACAGAACATGGAATGATGTCAGGCATTTTACTTACATGAATCCATTCTCTCTTTCACACTTTTCAAGAGTGAGTTTGAAGCTCAAAGCAAGTTTTTTGAAGAAAGAAAAGTAGTCTGGCCTTCCTGTGCGGGGTGCTGGTCCTTTGGTGGTGGCATAATCTTTGCAAAGGGCTGTAGCTTTTTCATAATGCGTCTGGGCTTCTCGCAATGCTCGAATCGCCTCTCCACATTTGTCTTGAGAAAGCAGGTTCTCACCACAGTATGTATATGACTGGTAGATAGAACAGAAGAGTTAGTTTATCATTGTACAAAGGAGCAGAACCATAAAGCTGCTTGTGGCAAAGGAAAAAACATGGTCATACATAGGCCATGTAGAAGTGGTTCTTCAACTGCAAGTACTTGCGCCATTGCCCAGCTACTTTGTCATCCAGAGAACTCAGTGCTGCGTCTGCCTCATGGAACAATTTGGCAGTTTCATTGGCAAGTGCACTTATCAGGCTTGGATTGTGTTTCAGCTCCAGAGCTCTGGCCACAGACACTGAAAATGAGGACAGTAGGTGTTTAAAATTTGTAAATATTTCCCATTAGTGGGGAAAAGATGAGATAAAAATGTTTTTCTCGAAACCTTCTTGAGCTTCTGCTGTACACTGGTCCCTGTAGGCTCTCACAACTCGAGGATCCAGATCCCCTCCGTCTCTGGCTCTCTCACGAAGCATTGGCAGAAACTTTTTCTGAACAACTTCAAATAATCCTCCAGCACGACGCAGAGCAGTATGCACTTCCTTGGCATCATCCATATTCATTCTGCAACATGGTAAACACAAATATGGCAGCCTAATAAGAAGAAGAACACAGTTTGGTACTTTTTACTTGAAAAAAGAATGAGGAATATTTGCTTACTCTTCTTTAACACACAAAGTGGAAGCATGTTTCATGAACCAAATAGCCACATTGACAAACATATTTGCAGCCTCAAAAACCGCATCTTGCTGAATCCTTAGGACACAAAAATGAATGAGAAGATAGCGTTATATTACACTCCATTAGATGTTGGTAATTACACTTGAATGTGACTCACTGAGGGCTTGTGCCGAGAAGAGAGTGTGACCATTTGAAAAGAAGTGCATGACGCAGCTTGCTTGGGGCCCCGCTGCCATCGGGAGCTTCTATGAGGCCCTGGAGGAGTGCGATGTACGCAGACAATGCTTGCTCCATAGATGCCCCAGAGCCACGAGGATCGGGTAACATGTCCAACAGCTTATACCTTGTTGCTTTCAATTCACTGAAAAGCAAGTGTAAGTTGTGAGTGAATGTGATAAATAAAACAACTTGAGTACCAATGAGAATGTTAATGTGGCATGATTTAACATACAACTGGCAAAGCAAATATGTCATTATAAAATTAAATGAACGAATAGCTCGAGAAATGAACAATGAAGCAATGTCACTCAAGAAAAGTTGCCATTTACAGTGAAGGAAGGAAAGCCACACAGGTTACATGACTCATGTCAATCAAGAAAGTTACCAGGCAACTTTGGTGGCATCAACGTCGTGTTGGATGTACTTGAAATCAAAATTCATCACCACCGTGGCTTTCAGCACGTTCCGATGAAACCACATCGCCATCTTTGCCAAAATTGGAATAAATTCAGACACAGAAACTCAAAGACCATAAACAATGACAGCTGGTTGTTTGTGTTTGTGATGTTCTTGTTCTTATTTGCACTATCTCCCCCTCCCCCTCTCCCCCACTTTTCAGGTCACTGCCAATAACACAGCAGACGATTCCCTGACGAAGAGAACACTAATTTGCCTCTGACAGATTAAGAATTATCTATCAGAAGACTCTCTCCGATAAAAGCATAATTGTGTCCAGATAAAATACAGTCTTAAACGTCTTGAATATAACCCTGGCTGTATGGCGAAAGAGGCAAAGTACATTCGAGGGCAAAAGACAAAAGAGCACGCTGCCTTCTGCTTTTGTCGTCTGTCGCCCGTGTCGTCACTTCCTTACTAACTAATATGGCTGTCATGTTTACAATAATCAGTTAGTAGCGTTGCTGTAAAATGTAGACAACTTTTTAATTTGACCATCCATAACCCACAAGTCCTTCGATCCACCTTTCAGGTGAGTGTCCAATCTCGTCCCAGTCTGTTTGGTTTTTCCGACCGAATATGGCGGAGGCGACAGCCCGGAGAACCAGGACGGAAAATGAGTGGACTACACGTACTCAACATCAGATGATATCTTTCTGTGGTTGAATGGGAAATGAACATAAATTACTAGGCTCAACCTTTCACAATGGGTAACACTCGGCTACGTTTGGAGTATCACCCATCAATTCGACATAAATGTCACCATCCGCAGACGACATAACCTCTACTGTACCATTGTTATCTTTACCTAGTCTTCATTTTTCCCTGTCCCTAGAAAATTTCTATTCGCTTAAGTGCCTCTGTTGCTTGGTGCTAAGAATTGATGTTACGAATTTCATCGAAATACGGGCATGGAGCAATAACGCCAGATTAGCTCTCATGATAGCTGTAGTTTTCTCAAAGAGAGGAGAAGATTGTAATATAAAGACCTTGGGAATGAATGTATCAATACCTTTTAAACATACTGAGTGCCACAGTTATTGTTGTCTTTTTTCACTCTTAAACTGTGACTGTTGAACAACTACGTAAACAATGAACTGTTTCACTAAAATGTAAAAATGAGTGGTGTGGTATGTAGTTTGCAATACTTGATTTTCATGTTCGCTGTACTTTCTGTTTGTTGCAGTTCCAAAATTAATGCTTGCTCTTGACTTCACGAGGTACCAACATTCCTGCTCGACACCCGACCACATATATTTCTGATGCAGTCATCCACAGGTAATTGCAAAGGAATTCTTTCATTTTCTCTTGTTCTTTACGTGTCTTCCTTCTCAGAAGTTAATGTTGGTGTTGATTTTCACAGGACCTTTGAGGTGTGCTGAATGCAATGATGACTTCTCCTCCGCTGCATCCCTCCTTACTCACTTTGCTCAGCACATTGTCATTGCGGAATCGGCGTCCCCTATTGAAGCTTCAAGTAGTTCGACCACCACAAAAAAGAAGAAAAGCGATAGCATTCTTGAACAAATACTCCAGCGCACAACAAAGCGTGCTGTGCCCAAGAAAGCAGTGCACCGAGCTGGAACAGGGCCTCCAATGCTTCTTCCAATCAATCAGTCACATCTAGTGAGTAAGTCCAACACTCCTCTGCTTGAATTTTTGAAGAAAAATGTTGAATCAGCGATAAATCAAGATCAACTTCACTTGGATGCCAAAGACCAATCAGACACACTTTTGAATCAGAGTAGCTGCTGTAGTAGTGCCAGCAGCAGCAGCAGTGCAAATGGGAACATAGACACCCAACTACTATCATCAAAAATTTTCAATGGAGCATCTATAAACCTTGCCAAATTTGATATGCAACAGCGAATTGAAAACTGTGTCTTAAATCTTGTGTCAAAGAAGGATGTTAAAAGGTCTGCAGATGCATTGATTCCTGATATGCCACCCACGATTCCCAACAAAAAGGTTTATTCCGATACTTGTGAGAGCTGGGATAGTTCAAGTGCTGCAGAAGAAATAAATCCATTGACACTTTGCACAGTAACAATTGATGACTGTGAAAATGGCACAGATAGTGATGAGATCAGATTTGATCACTCAAAAAAGAACAGCAACCGAAAGCAATTGGCACCGAAGAAAATTTCAAGACCAGACAATGACATGCTTCATGAATTGTCATCAAAACTTCCTGAACACACTACACTAACCACAGTGGAGTGTCCTAGTCCTGAGAGAGAGAAGCATGGTTCTAAGAAGAAGTACCCCTGTCATATTTGTTCAAAAGTATTTGGTTGGTCCACAGATTTAAAAAGGCACATTCTAATTCATACAGGGGAAAGGCCATTTAAGTGCAAACTATGTCCTTCTTCATTTACCAGAAATTTTCTGCTTCAAAAGCATGAGAGCAAAGTTCATCATCGAAATGGTGCAAAGTGTGTTGTGAATGGTCAATTAGAAGCTATTGCCTTGAAACTGCAGTCTACAGAGCATAAAGACAGTTTTATTTCTCTTCTCCCAAATCTTGATATCCCTTATGATATTTCAAGTAAACCATTGAATGATACAGAGGAAATTAGTGAAGATGACCCAGAACTGGAAGGTGATGATCGTAGCAGTGCAGATGAAAATGACAATCATAACCAAAAACTAAAGAATATTTCTTTAGAAATGCAAGATCCATGTCGTGTGAAACAGCCATGGCACCCTACCAACTTGGCTCAGCAAGCCCTCCAATAGGTTTAGAATATAGATGTCAACTATATTTATTTATAAGATACCCTCTCTTGTCATCCTACAAAGTGGGACATTGTTTTTAATGTGCAATAACAATAATAGTTTCACAATCGTGAGAGTACATAGTTGAAAACTTTTGTTTGGTATTGTTCTTTCATTAACTATTCATACTCTCAAACGAGATGATTTGCTCACTGTATTATGTTCCTTATATTCAATCTGATGGTTTAGCTTGGTCTCTTTCATGTAATTGACAGTATTTATGAATGAAATTAACGCTGTAAACAAAAAGAGAAATTATTTCAAAGTCAATTTGGATAAAGTTAAATTTGTTTGGCATAGCTCCTTTTCTTTTTCGACCCCTATTAAGAAACTGATTTGCTCTTGTTTCAGCTGTACACTGGGATAAAACTTAATGTCGAGTCCACTGTTGTTTCGTTTGTTGTTAGTCCATTGCTCAAGATGTGTATGGATATTTGAATTATGATTTTGTTCCTATGTTTCGTCCAAAGGAATAGTATCAATTGTGCTACAGTTGCTTAAGTTTATGCACTTATGTTAATTTGTATTATTTTTATTTTTATTACTTCTGTGCTATAATTTGTGGTCTGTTATTTAAAAAAAAATTATTATTCAGAGGGACTGTAAATTGTTGTTGTTACTTAGGTTTTATTGTTTCAATTTTTTTTTAGTTTACAAAAGTGGTTAAATTTACTTAATGGGTGTTACACTTATCTGTTAGCTTGACTGAATGTGTGTGCATTTGGACAACATGGATTGGCTTTCCCATAGCAGAGCGTTTCATAATGCAGTTCCAGTATTTTAAACCACTCTTTGGTTAATGTCATTTGCTCTTCCTATAGTCCTGGATAAGTACTTTACTTGATTCTTCCCAAACATCATGGCTCACTCATTCTTCCATGCCCATACCTTTCTGACCTATGCCATTCACTGTTGTCCGTGCATCATTCAAATTTAATCTGGAATACTATTTTTGGTTGAGTTGGTTCAGTATTAGTCAACTATTATTATTAATGATATTTACTTGGTTCTTGGTTGGATTTACATTAAGTTCCTCGATTCTGATGAGACCAAAGACAAGCAAGGCTGTACATGTGTACATGTTGCAACTCATGTAGTTGAACTTAAGCCAAAGGGCTACACCAAATGAGTATTTGTATGAAATTGCTTTATGATGAATTTGTTAGTTCTTTCATAACTTGCAGTTGTCGTCACCATGTTTTCTTCTATGTTTGTAATTATCATCTTGTTACATTTGAAAGCCAAGTTAGGTAATCTTTCATACAAGTATTTCCATAACACAGCTTCATATAATTCAGGTCAAAGGGAATAGATAACCAAAGATGACTATTGTAAGATTTATTTGACAATAATATCTGTGAAATGTATATTATTTAGAAACATGAGTTAATTGTGCTATTTTGGCTTTGCTTTCTTCCCTTCTGGTTTCATGATGAGCAGATAAGACTCACATTATGAATTGTACCTGTTATTTCTGGACGAAATGTTATGCCAATGTGTAGATCGTCAAGTTTTAATTGTTCTGTTTGGTTGTCTGAAGACTCATTACCCCCTTAGGTTGAAATTTTATTCATCTCTCTGTGCCTCTTAGGTTTTTCTGTTCGTTCTATTTTTCATCTTTCAGATCTTTAAAAGGCATGTGGGACTTAAAGCCTGCAGTGGCTTAATGTGATTTGCATTTCCAGCCGCACATCATGATGTGTAACACGGAGTTTTACTTTTGACCACATTGCTTAGATTCAAGTCTCACGTGGTATTATGAATTTCTTATATGTACATTTCGTTGTACTAAATGATGACATTTTCTAAAACATAATTTTTTGAAGACTGAAAATGAGGATTAATTCATGAAGTTTCGCTAGGGCTTTTGGGGCTTCCTTCTTTACAACATTCTTTAGTTTTACTTGGAAATTAGTTCTCCATTGTTTTATTTTCAGCCTTTAGAGCCATTAAGGTCCTTCAGTCAAAATAAGTAGGATCTGGGAAGATGATTGTTTCATCGTCCTGTTGTCCTGGCTTATAACTCCCTGACGTGTCTCTTTCTTCATTTCTGCTAAGTGGGCAAATTTCATATAGGTTGAACTGATATGTGGTGTTAGTGTCTGCCAAATGCTTAAATTTTTGAGAAAACATGGGGTTCAAGTTGTGTTGGGATGCATCTTGGAACAACCAAATGATTTACTTTTTTTTTTTAAATGTACTTAATTACCAGACCTATGTGAGTTCAATATTGTTTTAAAGATTGCTTCTTACTTTTCAAGCAGTTGATATTTTGTTGAAAATTTTTAATGAAACCAGTGACAATAATAAACACCTGAGTTTATTCATTAAATGAGAAAAGTATTAAATTTTATTCGTTAAGTTTGCTTGTTCTTTTTAATTTTTAAGTTGGGCAAAAGTTGTGAGTCAGAGTACATGCTCATGATGTTTTGGCCATTTTGTCTGTGAACTCTCAAGTGTGAGAGATTGTGATTGTTACCTGTACATTTAACAAGTTCTTATGTTGTTGAAGTATTGTAACTATGCCAAATTGTAACATATGGGGAGTTGTCCAACTTTCCGAAAGTGTCATATTTTTGTCAAAATGGGGAAACTAGGGAGGGTGTCTGATGCAAACTTTTCAAAAAATCTAGCAAACAAAAAGGGCGGCCTCATGCAGTGTAATGTTCCTCTGTGATGTCTACTTATGCTATTGTTATTGTTGTTTTTAGTTGTTCTTTTTTTTTCATTAAAAAAAATGGATTGATAATTTAATTTCTTTGTTCACTGGTCAGAAGTGCTTATGCTTGATCCTGTTCTGCCTGGACCTTTAACTGTGAGCTTTATGTTGTGTTCTTTGGTTGAATTGATAGATACCTGACAGTGAAGGGTTTTATTTTCTCATTACACTTCACTTGTGTTGTGGCATACTAAGCAAAGACATAGTGGCTCTCCTTTCAAGGACAATAAGTAACTGACAATAAATTTCTTTCGCTTTAGGTTTCAACTGGTGACACAATTATTTTGTGGAAAGTTGGATAGTATGGTATGTTGCTAAGCATTTAAATGTAACTATTTTCAATATTTATAGAATGTGTGTGTCAATGCTATTTCTTATTTGATTCACCAAACAGCAGATGCTAAATGTATTGGAGTGTTAGCCAATTCGAGTCAACTTCTTCTTTTCATTTTGCTTTGCTATCTGAATGTGTTTGTCCTTTCTTTAATATTCTGACAGCTGCTCTTCAAGGTTGCACTCAAAAGGTGATAGTAGGGTGGTGAGCCAGCATTGAGAATAGCAAGCCACCATATACAGTATTTGTGCTTTAGGTAGTCATTACCCAAGGAAAGTGCGTAGTCATGTCATAGTCTTATCTCATTCCAGTAAAATGAAAATTTATGCCGCATCAAGAAACCTTTGGCTGCTTTTGTTGAAGGAAAATTCTTATTTTTGAAATGATGTGCAATATTATTTAGATTTATGCTTATATGTGTTCTTGTGTGAGAACTTTTTTTTCCCCCACCCTTTGCGTCTAGTCGGCTGAGAGCCAGAATGTTCCTTTATATACTGCTTTGACCCAAAATTATTTTCCAAGCTTACATTGGTTTAAAAGTAAGTCAATGTTAGTGTATGAATTGTTTGAATTTGCTGTACTTATTGGCTGTCGTAAGATACATAAGTCTGATCCTTACTTAACCTTAAATGGACAAACTTTGTACCTTCAGATGTATTAACTGCTGTAATTTTGTCCCGAAAGAAGTTCCCCATTTTGTTATGACATTCGAAAACCTACACGGTGAAACATGTCTTAGGGGGAGAAAAGCATTACTAGAACAAGGGCAAAAACTCAATTTAAATTTGTATTAAAATATTATTTGTTTGCCTGGGATTTAAAAACATATATACTATATATATATGGGTTATGATTTCTTTTTTCATGTGTTTTTGGCTGTTAGTCATGCCTTACAAGTTTTTAAAAGTGCATTGGTGTTTTTCATAGCTGTGTAAATTGTTATGTTCTTCTTCTTGTTGTTGAGAAGAAGACTTGTGGGAAAATAACAGGATGTATTTGTTATTTAACCAAAAGTGTGCATGTTCAATATGTTTGGTAGGGAAAACTAGCATAGTTTAAAATGCGCGTGGAAAAGTGTTTGACAATATTGTTTGTACTAGAGTAATTGTAATGGCGCAGGCTCTGCCTACTGTGTGAATTTTTCGAGTTGTGTAATTAGTAGTCAAGATGGTGTATTTTATAGTTACATTTTGTAAATGTACTGTTTCTGAAGGTTGTTCCTTTGCTCCCAGTTTCATGTAGATTGTGAGGATCAGTAAGTGTAAGTAGGCACAAATTATCATAACATGATGGTTTGTGATTTGTGGTCGTTGACAATAATGTTTTTCAATAATGGAAAGTAACTTTGGATTGGTATGAGTGTTTTGTGGTCATTGACAATAATTTTTCATCAAAGAAAACGAAACAAATTGGTACATAATTACCTGGATATACCGCCAAATTTTAATGTACTGAGGATATCTGATATGAAGCTATATAACTGTGACAATAAAAGACGTGCACGTAAAAATTTGAATTTTACAATTTCTTTCATCAGTATCTGACATTCCACCCTGATTCCACGAACCTCCTCCTCCACCTCCTCCTCCACATTTTCTGGAGGCTGCAGACTGATTCGTAGAGTCGTTTTCATCGCTCTGTCTCTCTCGGACTCATGGGGCGTCCCGTATGGGTGCGAGAGAGACAGAGCGACGAGAACGACTCTCGGAATCAGTCTGCCGGAGAGGCTGGAGCCCGCAGTCCCCGCGCTCCAGGGAGAAGGGTCTGCCGGTGCGGCCGCCCTGGCTGGAGGCTGGCTGGAGGTTGCCCCGCGGAGCGCCGCGCCGCCGCGGAGACGCTGGAAGCGGAGACTCTGGGAGCCGCCCGGCCCGGCGGTACGGAACGGAAGGGAACGGTTCGAGGTTCCGAGGCGCCGACAAGCAGTCGTCACTGCACTAGTCACGGGCACGGGTCGCGAACGCCGCGAGCACCATGAAGCCATGGGCCGTCTCCGTCTACCCTTGTGGATGGTGCTGCTGCTCCTGCCGCCGCCAGGTGAGTGTGTGGCGTTCGAGGAGGGACGACCCACTGTAAAATTGAGGGAATGAGCAACATTTCTGGCGTATTTGCCACCTGAATGTGTGCACATTTAACGTGGGAAGTAACTGTCCCCCTCGGTGTCAGCTCATGATGCAGCCGACGTACAACATACGAAGCACGAGGGAATGCCCATCGAACTTACACCGTCCTTTCACTATGTTTGTTTTAATCTGTCGAATGCTTTCTTCTATCTCTCGCAAGGGGAGGGGGATATGAGTTTTGCTTCGAGTTGCACTGGCAAAACTAAAGCGTACTTCTACGCTTCATTCAAGCATACACTTACGCGTGAAGACCTACTACTTACTTGAAGCGGTACAACTATACGCTTCCAGGCAATGCAAAACGCGCAATGCTCGGCGCAATGTTACGCTTTACTTAATTTTACCAGTGTCGGTGGCCGAACCAGCGGCCCGCGTTGTCGCGTGTCCCTTTCATCCTTTCATCGCCACTTCGCCGCTCCGCCGGCTCATGTCCTCCGCGTGTTTGGGTCCGCCCCCGCCTCTGCTCCGCGTCTGCGGTTTTGGCACCTGATCCGGCGCCGGCCGGGGGCGGGCTCCGGGGCGGCGGCGGCGGCGGTTTCGTGGAAATGAACGGTTCGGGGACCAACCCGAAATTTTTCCTCGAGTGACGCAAGGGCACCAAATGCCGTAACGCGTCGCGGCGTCTCTGTGTCAAAGGAGGTGTGTAGTGTGCAGTGTCGCGGAGCACAGACTACCGACTTGATTCCCCGCGCGGAACTCGGAGACTGCAGACTGAGAGTCGTTTTCGTCGCTCTGTCTCTCTCGCACCCATGAGGCCCCTTCCCCTTTTGGACCCGTTTTTGGATTCGATTTTGGATCTGCCCTTGGGTCAAAGAAGAGGGGAAAGGAGACAGAGGAAAGTGGGGGAGGGGGGGGGGGTTGTCTCACTACGAGTCATTGACAGTCATTGACTGGCCATGAATCGGCCGCGGTCCCCTTTTGCTCATTATGCATTCAAACTCCCGACTCCGCCACCACTTCCCCGAACAATGCCCTCGTCGCTGTCGTCTCTCTCGCACTCGAGGGGCGTCTCGAACGGGTGCGAGAGAGACAGAGGCACTGCTGCCGTGCGATACAGTCTGTGATCCAACCACCTCGTCCGACTGATTTCGCGATCCCATTGGGCATTGTCCGCCGAGGCGAAGCACAGCGACGCAGCTCGCCGATCTACAGCTACCCGCACAACAGTGGTAACTTGTACGGGGCTTCGGCAGCCCGCTCGGGCGCGCAGCTTCGCATTGCTTCGCATTGCTTCGGGTGTACCGTTCGCGGGGTTTGTTTAGCCGCGGCTTTACACGCCTCGTTCGGAACGCACTCTCTGCCGGAGTTTGCTTTCCGACGCCTCCGCAAAGTGGGTCTGTGTGCACAGCCCAGGCACAGCCCAGGCAGGCACAGCCACCCACCCGCGGCCCCCAAATTCTCCAAACTGTAGCCAACCTGCTGGCCAGGCGCCGTGTCGTTGTCGTTTCGGTTCGAGTCCCATTTAGCGACTCTGGAGCTCAAAACGCGTCCGGGAGTTTGACCACCCCCGCGGCAAACCCACGGTGTGTTCCAGGATCGCCCTACGTCCAGGACCTGCACGCGCAGGACCGCGGCTTCGGCCAGCTGATGGCGGGCCAGTGGCGCTGCATGCTGGACGGCCTGCTGTCCGGCCGGACGCTGGCGCGCGTCTTCGCGCCCTCCAACGCGGCCGCGCCGCCCTGCTACCCCGACGTCACCGTGCACCTGTACTCCGGGTAAGCCGAGGGGGACAGCGGCTCAAACAGAGACAACAACACCACTCCCACTCGACGCTGTCGTGTCGTCGGCGCGACGGGCGGCGGGTCGGGCCGCTACTCACGGTAAACAGTGGAGGAGTCGCTTGGGCGTTGGCGTCGGCCGTCGGCCGCCTTCACCCTGGCTGCTGCTTTCTTCGCAAGCGGTCCGAACGGCCGAGTGGAATCCGTCGATGGGAAACACTGACGGTTTCACTGGACACCACGTTCAAGTTGAAGCCGAGGGTTGCATCTCGCATGGCGTTGGGTTGGCACTGCACTGCACAATTTGACGAACGCCATGCCGCCAGCCAGGCTGCCAGGCTAGCGCGGCACGGAGTGACGTGGCGGGGAGAGGCGTTCGCACTGGCTCGCACTGCCGACGCCGGCCTCCGTCGGCGCGACTGCCTGCGACTGCCTCCAGCACACTGATCCCGAGAGTCGCTCTCGTCGCTCTGTCTCTCTCGCACTCCGTCCCGTATGGGTGCGAGAGAGACGGAGCGACGAAAGCAGTGCTCGGAGTCAGTATGGGCCTGCACTGTAGGTGGCCCCCGCGGCGCAAGGTGCTGGACCCGCGACGGCCGGGCTGGCTGCGCTGGAGCGGCTGGGATCCGCGGCGGCGGACGGTGCTCCTGGTGCACGGCTTCAACGGCGGCGCCGAGAAGGCCCCCCTCAGCACGCTGCGCGACGGTGAGACCACGGCGCCACACTGTCAAAAGTTTTCGTTATTGTATGGCAAAACATGCAGGGGATGGCGTATTCGTCGTCGCTTTAGAATGATGACCACTTCATGACAAAAAGATGATGATTTCATGACAAAGTGATGACGTTTCGATCACAATTTCATGAGAAAGTGATGACGTCTCGATGACAATTTCATGACAATTTGATGGCAGTTTTCATAAAATAAACTCATGGAAAGGAAAGAGGAGCAAATTAGCCTTGAAACTGCCATCAAGTGACGACAAGAATTTTCACAGTGCAAACGAAAATTCGGAAAATCCAAACTGTCCGGTGCTTGCTTGACCCTTGAATACCCGGTGGCAGCGTACCTGGAGCAGGGCGCCTTCAACGTGCTGGCGCTCGACTGGTCCCCGCTGGCGCGCTACCCGTGCTACGCGGACGCGGTGAGGCACTCGCGGACCGCGGCGGCGTGCGGCGCGCAGGTGCTGTCCGCGCTGCAGGCGACGCTGGCCTCGGGCCTCGGCGTCAACGCGCTGCCCGCCGCCGACACGCGCCTCGCCACGTGCGTGGGCCACTCGCTGGGCGCGCACATCTGCGGCATGCTGAGCCGCCTGCTGCCGCTGCGCCTCAACAAGGTGGTCGGTGAGTACGTCGCTCTGTCTCTCTCGCACTCATGCGGCGTCCCGTATGGGGCCGAGAGAGACAGAGCGAGACTCTCGGAATCAGTCTGCTGTAGGTGATGTCAGAGACGGCGGTCGAGTCTCGTGCCTGACGCACTTGATGGTGTCCCCCACGCGCAGCGCTGGACCCCGCCAGGCCGCAGGTGTCGCGGCTCCTGGGCGACGAGGACCTGTCCGCCAGCGACGCCAGGGTGGTGCAGTCCTTCCACACCAACATGGGCTTCTACGGCGAGTACCCGGAGCCCGGCGTCGGCCTCGCCAACTTCTGCTTCAACGGCGGCCGCCTGCAGCCCAACTGCGACCAAGGAACGCGATTCGGTGAGGACGGCGTACAGTGGGCCAGAAGGCCGGTGGAGGCGGGTTGCCGCCAAGCTTTGTCGGTATAGGGGTGCCAACTGAAGTGCGTCTTCGTCCGCAGCGCGCATGCGGTGCAGCCACTTCCTCAGCGTGTGCTACTACGCCCAGCTGGTGCAGGACTGGGGCCGCGAGGCGCAGGGTCGCCGCCGGACGGCCGCCCCGACGGCCTCGGCGGCCTGGACCACGGCCGTGGCGTGCGACGGCTCCTGCAACCGCGTCCCCGGGGGGCCGCCCCTCGCCGTCAAGCTCACCGAGACCTCCATCGACAGGTGGGGTGTAAGAGAGAGAGAGAGAGAGAGAGAGAGAGAGAGAGAGAGAGAGAGAGAGAGAGAGAGAGAGAGAGAGAGAGAGAGAGAGCGCTCTACACTTGACCCGACCTCCCTACGAGTGTTGTTGTGTTGTCTCCAGGTGGCGCGGTACCCACTGCTTGGACTTGCGGCTCGATCGACCCTGCAGGATCGACGCTTGAGGACACGCTCAAGGCCGCGTCGCTGCTGCTACGCGTGGAGCGTGCACGCCGCGCACTCAGCGAAGACTGATTTCATTAATTTCTCTGCATTGTTGTTGTCAAAAGTAACAATAAACAATTCTCGGCCGCACAAGCGGCTCGCCTCTACGTTGCCAAGTCCTCGAATTCGCCCGCCCACCCTTTCGCGCCACTGCCTCCGTGCTTCCGCCCGGCTGGCTCGGCTGCAGACTCATTCCGAGAGTCGTCTTCGTCGCTCTGTCTCTCTCGCACTCATGTGGCGCGCCCTACAGGTGCGAGAGAGACAGAGCGACGAAAGGCTCCGGTTTGAAGTCATCATCATCATCGCTCTGCTGGCCGCCGCTTTGGCGAGCACTTTCCGCCTTTGCCGCTGCCGTGCTGCCGGTGGCCCGGGGCGCCGAGGTGGCCGCCGTGCCGCACGGCCTCGCCGCGCTGGCCAGCTCTTTGATGCAGTTGTTGTTCTCGGAGTCGACGCGGCGGGGCGGCTTGGCTCGGCTCGGCTCGGCTTCGGCGCCCTGCATCCGACAGCCTCGCCGATTAGTACACAAGAGGCGGTCCGCTGCACACCGATTCCGAGAGTCTCGCTCTGTCTCACTCGCGCCTGCAGGGGACGCCCCACGAGTGCGAGAGAGACAGCGCGTCGGAAAGGACTCTCGCGGCCAGTGTGCTGGACTCGGCCCGCAACGCACCCGAGTTCGAGAGCGCCGCCCGGCAGGCAGGCAACCCAACGTACGCCTCGCTACCCCGCGGCAGACGCAGACGCAGACTCGGAGTTTCCCTGGGCTCAAAAGGGTTCTGCGCGCGACTTGACGGGCATCGCATCAAGTTTCCAGTCCAGGTGCCACGGACGTCACGACCGTTTGCACTCAGACCACACTGTAAAAACGGTACTACTGTACCACTTGCAAAAGAATGCGACCCCCATAAATCCCATATATTATGGTGAGGCAGCTGACTTTGTAACCCACCCCTGAAGATGCATTATACCGTTTAGGTAATTTGCCGAATTTTCTTTTGCATGAGACTGACTTAGTATTTTATATAGAAAGGGACAGGGATCTAAAATTCAACAAAACAAATTGGGGAACACTTTTTTCAGCCGCCGATACACACTGGGCGAGGTGCGCGCCTCGCGGCGCCTCGCCCGCCGTGCATTCCGTATTCATTCTTTTAAAGTGGCGTCGCAGATCGTGTTCCCGAGGCAGGGGAAGCACCGCGGTGCGCGCCGACGGCCGCCAAGGAGGCCCAGTCTTTCCGTCGCACTCACGCACAGTGGGCCAGAAGGCCGGTGGAGGCGGCCAAAACTCCAGACGCGTGCAGAGCTCCAGAGTCGCTAAATGGGACTCGAACCGAACGTGTGACCCCACCAATGGATTGCTCTCCGAACGAGGAATCCATTGGTGGGGTCACACGTTCGGTTCGAGGCCTGTTTAGCGACTCTGGAGCTCTGCACGCGTCTGGAGTTTCGGCCGCCTCCACCGGCCTTCTGGCCCACTGTGTGACGGCCCGGGCGCCCTCGCGACATCGACACCGAGCCCGCCGAGCCGCGACCGCCACCTTTTTTATCCCCCCGTTTCTGTTCCTTTTACATCCGCCGGAGAGGAAGGGGCGCGTTAAAATAATGCGGCCTGGCGTCGCGTCGCGCGGAGTCGTGTCACACGCCGGGTACGCGCTGCCGAGAAGAAACAACAACAAAAACACGAACTGGTCCTCTCCGTAGCGCCTGCGAAGCTCCAGCTATGCAGTCCCGTCGAGCAGAGGAGTGGCCGGACTGCCGACCTGCCGGGCGCTCGCCGCGCCGCCTACCTCTCCTGCGACAGCGCTGCCCGTTTCAGCACAAATTTCGGGGTGTAGGTGATTGGGGGGCAGGCCGCACAGTGGGCCGGAAGACCAGTGGAGGCGCCGATCGAAATCAGTCAGCAGACGGTTCTCCTCTCATCAACAGGGGTCACCCGGTCAAAATTTCACAAGAAGTTTGGGGAGTCGAACCGCCGACCTCAGCACGGAGAAGCGACGCCTCTACTCCCTAGACCATCACGGCACATGCAGTTCGTTGGCTGAAGTCACGGTTTTCAACCACACTGGGCGAGGCAGTAAAATTAAATGTTAATGTTTGTTAGGAATCGAACCCCCGACGTGTGGGACTGTTCTACACGGCTCCGCTCTGGTGGCCTCGAACCGTTCCACAAAAGAAAGGAAATCGAAAAAAATTTGAGATGCCGGTATTCGAACACCGCACTGTGCAAATGCGATCGAACGTCTGTAACGCCCCACAAGTGCGAGAGAGACAGAGACAGGCCTGCAGGAGGACGGGACGCGCGGGACGTGTCTAGTTTCGCACACATTTTCAATTACCCCGGCGCGTTTTTCATACGGCGGCCACGCTCCCCTTCTGCCGTCGTCCGGGATCAAAATGTGTTTGACGCTGCGGTAATAACAGCCCGCGACATCCCCGCTCGGCCTCGCGGCGGCTCCGGTGTTCCTTTCTTTCTTCCCTCCGCGTTTTAAAAAAAAATTACTATTTTTCATCCCCCTCTTTTTTTTTCATTCCGCCTCTGCCGCTGTCTCTCTGGTGTCGCCAACGCGCGCCCCGGACGTCCACGGCGCGGCCGGCCTCGCTTTGTGTCGTCCTGGTCCTGCCTCCAGGTCCTGCCCGGCTCTGCCCCTCCCCGATGATAAGCGAGCAACTCGAGACTAAGTAGCTTAGGGGAAGAAGGGAGTGACTGAGTGCGACACGTCGCCGTGCCAACATCCCCCTCGCCCCTACCCTCCCCTCCCCTCCCGCCGCGGAGTCCTCTACGACGCGTCTTCTCGCGTCTTTTCATCGCGGGGTGCCTCGAGCCTCCCCGCAGACCGATTCCGAGGGGTTCGCTTTCTCGTCGCTCTGTCTCTCTCGCACCTAGGCGGGACGCCCCACGAGGGTGTGAGAGAGAGAGACAGAGCGACGAAAACGACTCTCGGAATCGGTCTGCTGGTTGCACGCACCCCTCCGCGCTCGACTTGCAGCTTTTATGGTGGCCGAGGCTAGTTTTCGGTTTGAAGTTTATTGTGCAGGGGTATGTCTCTCCCCCTTCGTGTGTGTGTGTGTGTGACGCGGTCGCGGCATTGTGTGGCCGCGACACACCGAGTGACATGCGGTCTCGGCGGGCCGCGGGCCGCGGGGCGGGGCTGCAAGCCGAGCGGGGCATCATCACAACTCATTATCAAATGATTGTGCAAACTGGATGTATTACCGTCCGAGGGTGTCGCCGTCGCGGCCCGTTTCCCACCCCGGCTGCAGGGTTTTGAGAGTCACCTTCGTCGCCCTGTCTCTCTCGCACTCATGGGGCGGCCCGCGTAGGTGCGAGAGGCACAGCGATGACGGGGGACTCAGTCTCTGTTGGCTGGCGACGGCGCGGGGGCGCGCGCCGTGTGGGGGCGTTTCGAGGACGCCGACGACGACCGTGTCGGTGACGACCGCGCCCTTCGAGTGTAGCGCCCCGCCCCGCCCCAGCAGCCCGCGTCACCGCCGCACCGTGCCACATTCGCGTGGCAATCCGCGATGTCACGCCGTCCGTCAAGGTGGCCGTCAACACCACAACAACGGAGACGTCGGCGTCGTTGGCGGGGACAGCCGCGACGGCCGGGCTGACAGGCGGGGGGCGAGGCGGACATAGAAGTAAATCGTCCTCTCGGGGTAATCCGCGCGCGACTGACAGCCGCCAGCCGCCGTTCCGAGAGTCATTTTCGACGCTCCGTCTCTCTCGCACTCACGGGGCCTCCCGCGCAGGTGCGAAAGAGAGACAGACCGACGAAAACGACCGCATCGGTTTGCAGGCCGTCGAGATGGTCTTGATGGGGCGGATCAAATCCCCACCGCGACAAAAAATAAATAAATGCTATTAATAAATTAGAGGACTAGGGAGCGAGGTCGGACAGTGGCGCGGCGTTATGTGGCGGTGTAACTGCGGAAAAACTTCCGGCGGAGGGGAGGGGAGGGGGAAGGGGGAGTGAAATGACTGCGGATTTATGCGAGCTGCACCAGCCAGCCACCCAGCCCCGCGTCCCATACAAACGCTCATCGGGTCGGCCGAGCCGCGAGGCGGGACGCGTCCAAAACTACGCGCCGCGCGAGCCAGCCAGTAGCCAGATTCCGAACTGTCGCTCTGTCTCTCTCGCACCCGTAGGGACAGCTCCATGGGAGCGAGAGAGACAGAGCGACAGTTCGGAATCAGTCAAACATAGTTGGCGCACTCGCAGTGTGCAGCTCCCCCGCAACGCAGCCCCGCGCCTATCTATTGAGCGGTAATGCCCTGTGTTAATTTACAGCTTCCTGTAAATAACTCATGCGATGTGCAAGTGGTGCTTGCTTGTCTCGTTCCCGCGGAAGCCACAATGTCAGGGCGACGCCGCGCCACGCCACGCCACGCCGCGCCCGTGCTGTGCCGCCCTCTCTCCGCGCGGCCGTGAAATATGTTTCCCGCGCTGCCATCCATCCTGCGGGCTGTCAGTGCAGCCACTCCGCCGCCACCACATCCTACCCCGTCTTCCTCCTCCCGCCCCCTTCCCCTCTCACCCTTCACCCGCCCTTCGCTCTGCGCCCCTCCCTCCCTCCCTCCCTCCCTCGGCCGGCTAGGCTCTGCCATCACCTCCAACCCGACTGACTCCCACTCCCACCGCATCCACTTCCCGCCGCCGCCATCACACGTCAACTGGTGCCGGCACGGCGCGGCGCGGCATAGTCCGCAGATGTCTCGGCTGATGATAATGTCGCTGGTGGCGAAACGGCGCAAAATCCATCTTCCCGGTCACGCGCGAGAGTGTGTAGGTGTGTGTGTGGTGTGTGTGTGTGTGTGTGTGTGTGAGAGAGAGAGAGAGAGAGAGAGAGAGAGAGAGAGAGAGAGAGAGAGAGAGAGAGAGAGAGGCAGCCCCGCACAGGTGGTGGAAGGGTTGCCTGAGCCGCCCCTGTGGTGGTGGCGGTTGGGTGGCCTACCTGCAGGCGCTCCGCGCGCTGGGGCGCCAGTTGGGTTGCCTGCCCACCCGGCGCGCTCCGTGCGCGACGACGTGGGCGCGCCGGACTCGGTTGGTAGCCTCGCCGCTCTATCTCTCTCGCTCCCGCT